TACCTTGGCAACAAGTCGGCGCACGTAGCGACATGTCGGCGGTGACTCGGCGAGTGTTTGGCGATCATGTTCGTTTATTATAAGTTCGGCGAACGGCCACGAAATTTTCATTTTTCATGAAATATTCGTGGCGGTCGTGACGAACCGTAAAAGTCGCGCAGTGGGCACCGACTGGTCTCCGAAATGCCAAGACCGTGGAAGAAAGATCCCGAATCGGTCCGCGACATAGGATGACTTGCATATTCGTGCACATTCGTGTACCAAAATTCGGCAGTGTAACAAGGGCTTTACTGAGACCCATCCTAGACGCCAGGCGCCGCACCGACACTTTCGGCGTCTGACCAACCTGCTCTGCGACCTTCCGTATGGCCTCCTGGCTGCGAGATGTTTTTTTTTCCCACCACTGTTTCCGGCATTCTGGTTTCTAATGAACCCTTCTGCCAGAAACTTCTCAGTCAGACGCTGTGTGGTCTTTATCGTTGGAGCTTCTCGGACCTTAAAATGTCTGCGATACTGCCTTTGTGTTAAAACGGCTGATCCGTGTTTGAGATAAAATTCGACTATTTTGGTTTTTTGTTCAGTATTAAACGGATTCATGACTGACAGAGCGCTCGTGCCATACAACACAATTTCCATGAACCTCGCCATGACCTCGCTTTCGATTGACGTTAAAATTTTACATGTCACGCGCATATATTTCTTTGTACTTTTAATTTAAATTTGGTACTTTTTTCTGGGACACCCGGTACTTTAAAAACACTTAAAATTGCTTTTGTTGACCAGTTAGCCCACTCCGGGTCGGTGCTTGGCGCAGCCTACGCGGGCCAGGAGGTGTCGGTTGGACACCCCTGCCGTTCGGCCCCTGATCAAGCTAGAGCTTCGCGGAAAAAAACAAGCGTGTCGCCCGTGAGTAGCGAAAGGAAGCCGATGGTACCCGATTTTAGGGTTCTTGGTCATTGGTTGACCTTCCAGTCCAGGTCACAGCAGTATCCCAAAATTGGTCGATTTGGGTGCGAACTGACATCCAAATGAAAATTACTTTGCACTCTCATCCCCATTTATTAAGAGCTATTTCCCACTTCCAATTTTACTGACAGTAAGCATTTGCGTCGATGGTCGTTTTACACCTGCAATCTGTCACAACTGTACAGGGTGTCCCAAAAAAGTTTACCTAGGATAAATCTCCGACGCTGAAAGTCAGTTGGGCGCCACTTTTCCATCCTCGAATAACTGCCAAATTGCTACCAACTTAACAGCGGAAAGGAGTTTCTAAAGGGAACTTCAGTATCGAAGGCTGGAACTTACCAGCCATCAATCATTTCAATGACCAATCCCGGTGCATTTGGGGGGGGGGAGGGCTAATTTATATCGCCGCCCCTGTCGAGTTTCGAATGGGGGGGGCTTTAGCCCCTGCCGCCCCCCCCTGGATCCGCCAGTGTGACTACGCACGAATAGCTTTATATGTAGAGGTATAGAATATGTATAAAGGTACAGGAGAATCGCGTAATCCAAAACGCGTTCGATTATTGTCATCCGAGACACCTTGCCCCAACTATTCACTGAACAATACTGTAGTCAGAGCTCACATTGGAATCACTAAGTCCGATTATCAGTGGCCCAGATACCCAGATATATCAGTCCAGATATCAGTGGTTAAGTGTAAAATGCAAATATCGTATCGGCTACGCCCACATCCTGATATTTTCAAAGGCGACAACAGCAAATGATTCAATGTATTATGAAACGTTATGCCTACATAGTACACACCATTCTGGTAAAATAAGTTAGGAATCAATATAAATCAGCATCCGCATTCAACTTCTCCGAAAATGAGAAGGCAAACAGGAATTCAGTGAAAAAACGAAAAACGATCGCTACAAAAATAAAATAAAACGACGTAACTAGATGATGCGTCACGACAAGTCGGCACTAACAGGCAGCGCACATGTAGAGTTCGTCGTCCTTACGGAGCTGATCTTTTCGATCGAGCGATATAAAGTCACCTTTTTCGACATCGCGTTACAAGACCAGCAGTCTGGCGTACCCTTATCGGCAAAACGAATGTGAAATCCGAGTCAGAGGACAAAGAGAGTACGGTTCGGAGCTCATTAGAGAATGGTGCGTCTGCTGATAGCGGTAGTGTGAGACAGATATCGCCAACGAACGGGCACTCCAGGGGCTTCTACATGACAGCGCGCTATTTGATCGGACTTTTCAGATCTAGTCGACTAAAAAACACCTTACGGTGCCATTAGTGTAAATTACGTAAGGTCTCATTACTCTGGTGTTCCTCACAACAGAATAAAAACATTTTTGGCACTTTGCGATCATCGTACTTCACTGACGTAATTTGGACATGACCCACATGGGAATAAATGATATTTGGATTTGCGTCGATTCGAATTCATATCGATGCTTCGCATTTTTAGCGAAGCTGTGGCACAGGAGACATAACGACAACGATTGAATCCTGTTGCCATGGTCGCTGGGCATCTCATATGAGCTTGGGTTTATCATCTTCCACGTCGCAGGACGAGTTTCGCGGAAAACCGGAACCGGTATATAGACGCCCACGCAACAGCTACAATGTTCAAAAAACAAAAATCTCCTTCGGCACCGTGGTAATGCGGCATGACGAGCTGCATCTTGCTGACAGAGACAACAGGAAGCACTAACGGTTAGCTTGTCAGGCAAATACGAATGTTGTTTAAGTTTCAAAAACACGACGGAACACGGTGTGGACATCACGACTGAACGTATAAGCCTTCTCGTGATGTCATGGGTACAAAGACCTTTGCTTTGCAGGTTTTCAAGGTCGTCTATGAGCATGCGCCTGAAAACCGCTCTGTGAAACTTCGAGAAGCACATTGTCGCGGTTCGGCGGAACATATCCCTCGTCTTCAGCCGGCCGAGACGCCGAGAGATCCATAAGGTACACGAGGACGGAAGCTGTGTAGCCTGTGTAGGACTTCACAAAAAAATAAAAAAATAATGGGCAATGCTGGCGTGCATAGAGGAAATGAGAAGAGAGGTAAAAGAGAGGAAATAAAAGAAAAAGAACGAAGGATTGAGGAAAACGAGAAGGAAGAGAACAGAAAAAAAGAGAAGAGAGAAAGGGAAACGAGTGAGAGAGTGAATGAGTGAGTCAGAAGGAAGAGAGAGAGAGAGAGAGAGAGAGAGAGAGAGAGAGAGAGAGAGAGAGAGAGGCAGACAGACAGACAGACAGACAGACAGACAGACAGACAAACAGACCGATGAAAGGAGAAAGGAGATCAAGACAGACAGACAGACAGACAGACAGACAGACAGACAGACAGACAGACAGACAGGCAGATGAAAGGAGATCACGCGTCGCTGGCAGGCGGCGGTGTGTGACTCCCACGCAGCTCCCTGGAGCCTGCCCTCCGCCAATGGGCGGCGGCCGGGCCGACGGAGGGCGGCGGTTGGCCCCGCCCCTCGCCGGTATGTTCCGGCGGCTCCGAGCAGACCCAAGATGGCCGTCCAACGCCGCCGCACGATCGGACGGGGCGTGAAAGGATAGGGCGGAGAGAAGGTGACGCTCGGAACAATCCCAAAGCAACCATCAAATGGTTTGCAAAAAAAGAATGAAGATGAAAACGAGGGATGACGCCATGCATGCCGCGCGATGATATTAGAGGTGCCCTCCCCCAGTGCATGGGAAATAAATACATGCCTATCAGAATAGTTACCAATTAATTTTGCGGCTGCCCTCCCCTCCAAGTCTCAAAAGCGGCAGCTAGTGATGTTCATCTGACACAACCAGGGAAGGCAGCGTCACTTGTTGCTTGAAACAATCGAAAAAAATGTAGAGCGTTGCTAAATCGTTCTTATCCATACGTCCACCCAAGAAATTCTAACAAAAAAAAAAAAATGATCAAAGTTCGTTTACTTTTGAGTCATGAAAATCTTAAATATATCCCAACCGAACAGATTAAGAAAGGAACGGAGGGATCACGCCTCAAAAAGGCCTCAAATTCAAACAAACAAAGCAAATATCTTATACACCTTTTTGTGACGGATTAGTTGTCAGTTTCCCATCAATCATATTATGGACTGTCAGAGCAGATCTGAACTGTCTTCTTGCCATTCCGATCTTCCCAGTTTCCTAAAAAAGTTACTGAGCCGTCGTCTGGTAGGTACAAGGAACCGCACAGCTGTAAAATTCCTCTGCTGAAGTCGACAACTTAAGAGTCCCGATCGCATACCTAATCGGCAGGACATATACCTACACCTGGCAATACAAGATATGATCGGCACTAAAATACAGCTGGACAAGAGCCTCCCACACACTACAACAAAAATACTATCGAGAAAAGCAAGTTCACCGACCTATCCGAATCAAATGACAATGACACTCACTAATCCATCCCCGAGCTTGCTAAGAGATGAAAGGCAACAATCCCTTCTAGTAGGATCTGCAATAAGGAGGTAGCATTATGCGGAAAATGTTCAGCCAGAGAGCGGTTTCAAATGCTGTAATTAATTCAACCAAGTGGATGTGGCTCCTTTAATATTAAATGAAACATTTGCTATGCATAATAGCATAGGATGAAATGAATATGAAAAGAATAAACACGTGAACATTTAGAAATAAATGCACTTTTAATTAGAAAGTAAGCTAAGGCAGCCGATGATGGTTTGCAGCCTGAACCTCTCTAAATAAAGTGATTTGTTATTTATGTGGTTGACGACGCCTGTTGAACATTAGCTCGGGCTGCGCTTCTCGGCGACCGGCTTCTATCGTCACCTATCCCTGCCCTGCCAGGCGCAGTCTCGAGTCAGTCTCACCTACTTGTGACTCTGATAGCCCCAGCCTTACCTGAACCTGGTAGCCCGATTATCACCTGACCCAAGTAGACCGTGTCTCACCTGGCCCCGACAGCCCGAAACTCATATGACCCTGGTAACAAGTCTCGCCTGACCCTGATATTCCTAGCCTCACCTGGTTTATGTCACGTCCCTGATAGCCCGAAACTCACCTGGTTGGTGACTCGGATGAACTTTGGGAACATGTGCGGGATGGACACGTTAGCGCCGGGTATGTCTCCACGCAGCATGGCAGCCAGCTGCTGGCGGATCGGGTTCCGCACATTGTTCTCTGTGGGTCATACAGCACAGCACAATTCAGCACAAACATCACAACGAGCATCACCGCACAGCACAGCTCAGCCGCAGCACAGCTGGCCAGCGCATACAGCACAGCGCCATTCAGCACACCCTAGTAAAAAAGTCCTGTAGGACTGCATTGAAGTCCTTGAACTCCTACAGGATCCTGTAGGATTTTAAGGATTTCTCTGAAGGATTGAAGAATCCTATAGGATTTTCATGAAGGACATTTGAATCCCACACCGATGTCCTACAGGATCCTCTAATATGAAGTCGTACATGATTTTATTCCTACAGGATCCTGTAGGATTTCTCCTGTATGACCCAATCCTGTAGGATTTTGTCCAGCAGGATTCTATAGGTTTCTGTCGTTTATGATCCTGTAGGATACTGAGTGCAGAATCCTATAGGTACGACTCATGGTCCTGCAGGACACTGTTCGACTTTCCTTCGCAGTACCTTAAAGGATTTTTTCCTCAAGGGCCCTGGAGAACCTTTCATAAAAGCTTATAGAAATATGCCCTGTCCACTTAGGCATTATCATGTAAGATGAACGCGTCGACCGCGGATCTGCTACTCAGGCGTACGAAATGGACATAACGTGAGAGGGGCGGCCGGCTGATCATCAGCCAATGTAACGTTCGAGCAGAGTCTGTGCGGTGCTGTGGTTAACGGAAGATAACGTTTGTTAAATGTTCGTTAACGGGTAGCGCCGGACCGCTGCGAGACGGTCCTCCGCACAGCCGCGCCGCTGCCGGTCGCGGCCCCGCCGGCGCGGCGGGGCGGCGCTCTCGGACGCCCCGGCCTGGCGGGCATAGCGTCTCGCTGTGGGGGGTCTGTGCCGGGTCCGGCGGGGGTGAGCCCCTCGGCCGTCCCGGGCCGGCGGTGGCGCGTCTCGCTGTGGGGGTCTGTCCGAGCGGCCGCGTCCCCCTTACCGCATTCCGGCGGAGAGGGGTCAGTCTGGCGAGAGGTTTGGTGCGGTGTGCACGTGAAGTGAACATACTGGACAACCACAGGTTTGCTTTAATTATTTGAAACATCTACTATCATAATATTTTCCAGACAGGACCACACTTCAATCAAGTTGACCACCTAAAATACCATCACATTTCCATCCAAACCGCTGGATGATCAGTAATGTAATGTTGTGCTGGGGGGGGGGGGGGGGGGGTATAATACTCCTGTTTGAGCTGTTAACTTTGAGCATTGTCCTCATGGCTAGACGTACATATGAGGTACTAAAGCGGCGCAATGCCAGACAATTTCTCTTCAAAATGTTTGACATTATACGCTATTTTACTGAAATAATCATTTTTACATGTTTTAAAGTCATCTACAAACTCGTTCAAAGTAAACCACACTCACACGTAAAATGAGAAGGAACACAGAAGCACCGACGTGAAAACAGGCCCGTTTCATTTCACGCGGCAAGTAGAACAGGAAGCCAATATTAAGGCCGCAGCAACGCCAACGGGGCCGAGGTTGCAGCGCGGCCTGCGATGGACCAAGTGAAGCTGAACGAGATGATCGGTAAGTTTAACTGCACGCTTAAATTACTCGGTTCGCATCAGGAATGGGCTGTTAAAAATAAAAAAAAATATTACAAACATCGTGGTTGTATGTATCTATATTGTACCCTAGTGATGGGGAAAGTTGTACGGGTGTTAAATCTGAATGAGTCATCTTTTTCATCTTTTTTCACAGGAAACTTAAACTAAAGAAATCGGAACTGCGTGTCATCTGCAGAGCGAAAGTCAACGACGAAACGAAGCTCCTGCAGCGCAGGACTGCGACGCGCCCGGCACCTGAGCCGGCAATGTACCTAACTAGTCCGACGGTGACCTCCAAGTGTAAAATGGGCATTATGTGGAATACATTTGGCAGTCTACGAATTTTGTTGAAGCCGATAGCTGACTGTGATTACGTCATTGAAGTGGGGTGCTAAGTGCTCACGCAGAATGGCTGGTTCAGCTACTGACTGATATCCGTGAGACATACGTATTGTAGGACACCCTGTATAACAACATGTAGGTTTCATGTAGAGCACCTGTAGGGCATTATGTAGGATTCCTGTATGACGGCATGTGGGACTTGCTATAGCATCCCTGTATGAACGCATGTAGGACAACCTATAGGATTCCTGTAGGACATCCTATAGGATTCATGTAGGATATCCTATAGGATTCCTGTAGGACATCCTATAGGATTCATGTAGGACATCCTATAGGATTCCTGTAGGACATCCTATATGATTCTTGTGGGACATCATACAGGATTCCTGTAGGACATCCTACAGGATTCCTGTAGGACATCCTACATGATTTCTGTAGGACATCCTACAGGATTTCTGTAGGACATCTTATGGGATTCCTGTAGGGCATCCTATAGGATTCCTGTAGGACATCCTATTGGATTCATGTAGGACATCCTATAGGATTCCTGCACGACATCCTGTAGGATATCCTGAAGGAGTCCTACATGAATCCTTGTAACAATTTCGCACAAGAATCATACAGGACTAATCCTTCATGATCCATGGAGGACGATCCTACAGGAATCCTATAGGACTTTTTCACTAGGGCACATAGCACAATTTATACGACAACCGTCACAGCACATCACGGTTTGTAAAACATCACAACACAACATACCAGGTGATGCGTTGTCAGACTGCACGGAGTAAAACAGTTACCTAGCCAATCACTTAAAAATGGATAGCGCGGATAACTTGTATTTTGTCTGTTATGTAAGTCTTGAAGCATAAAGACAGGTGTAGAACATGTGGAAATTTCAATTGCAACACAGTTTTACTCGGTCATGAATAGAAACGTATTATCCCAAAAGCCGCAATAAAATAAATATTTTTAGACAAACACTGATAAATACATTAATGTCTGTCAAATTTTGTTCAATGTATGTAATGTTACCGATCCAACGTTCCTGAAAAAAAAGAAACGGTTCACCGCACAGCTGGGCACTTGCATACTCATGCCAATGGTATGGTTGCATGAATTGTACGAATAAAGCAGCCTTCCTGTTGTCACTTAGTTGCAATTTTTACGACTGAGTAAATTAACTGGTAAACAATTCTCAGAATTCTCAATTTGATGGCTTATTTCATCGATTTCCGCGATCTCAGACCGCTAGTCGGCTTAGGATTTTCCCAACTCATGTTGAGGTCTGATAATAGGACATGACAGCAACATTCAGGAGCCAATGGCCGGGGCCGAAATTCGTCTGCGGTCAGGTGCCACCCCTGGGAAGACGGTGCCAATCTGCCCATGTGAACAGGCCATACAGCAGGGGATGACCTTGGGCAGCGGCTCCCAGACGTGGCGTCATTTCAGTCGACGGCCGAGTGTTCACAGAGGACAGCCGAAAAGAAACGAAGGAAACAACGATATTTCAGTCTTAAAATGAAACAAAAACATAAAATTTCAGCGTAACAAGTTGATAGGCAAGCATAGATAACAAAACATCAGAATTAAAGTTACACGTGGCTTGAAGTTTCATAGCCCCGTAAGTTCGTTATGTGTAAGCATAAAAAACAACGGGAAAATATGGTGTCAGTCTGTCTTGCCGAACCCTAATCCAATAGAATATTGCAGATAAAATCACCAACATATCAAATCCAGAGCATCCCAAAACTACAGACCCTCGTGAACCCTGATCACAACGATAAACAGACAGTGCATGCAAGATAAGTGATAACTTTATACGGTTTTGACAAAGGAATGTAGGGCTTTCGAACACGTAACATCTGCCAGCATTATGGTAAATAGTTTTTCAGTTGGCCCAAACGCTAGGCCTCGCTAATCTCAATAAGTGCCATCTGCGATTGAAAACAACACATACCATTCCCGTTCGACGCATGCAAGCATACATATTCCACAAAACAGTGCTTATTTTCGTATTGCAGACTGTTTAATGACACATCATTCAGTTTTACTTAGAACACGAGCTTGAGCACCAGTAAAGTATGCTTTCATGCCTAAAAAATGCGCCCCGAACACTGCACAAACGCTTATCCGCTCGACTACCAAGCCCAACTCTCCCAGCCTGCAACTCCCCCTCAGCGAATGAGTCCCCATGTATTGACTCACTTGTATAGGCCGGCAGCGGTATCTTTCTGGAGTCAAGTGAGTCGGTAGAGACGGCCGCTGAGTTGGAGAGTCTCTTCACATTCCAGGCCAGCTTCAGAGTCACCGTGTCGTTGCCCATGAGGTCCTCGATGAGACGAGTCTGGAAACAGGAGGGACACGGTGTGGTTCGAACCATCAGTTGGCTGTCAATGCACGGCCGGTCGTATATGGTCGACAGAATGGCTATAGCTGAGTGAGTGAGTGAGTGGGTGAGTGAGTGAGTGAGTGAGTGAGTGAGTGAGTGAGTGAGTGAGTGAGTGAGTGAGTGACTGGGTGGGTGGGTGAGTGAGTGAGTGAGTGAGTGAGTGAGTGAGTGAGTGAGTGAGTGGGTGGGTGAGTGAGTGAGTGAGTGAGTGAGTGAGTGAGTGAGTGAGTGAGTGAGTGAGTGAGTGAGTGAGTGAGTGAGTGAGTGAGTGAGTGAGTGAGTGAGTGAGTGACTGGGTGGGTGGGTGAGTGAGTGAGTGAGTGAGTGAGTGAGTGAGTGAGTGAGTGAGTGAGTGAGTGAGTGAGTGAGTGAGTGAGTGAGTGGGTGAGTGAGTGAGTGAGTGAGTGAGTGAGTGAGTGAGTGAGTGAGTGAGTGAGTGAGTGAGTGAGTGAGTGGGTAAGTGAGTGTGTGAGTGGTACAGGTGAGTGTGCAAATGAGTGAGTGAATGAGTGAATGATTGAGTGAGTGAGTGAGTGAGTGAGTGAGTGAGCGAATGAGTGAGTGAATGAGCAGCGCCCAGTCATCAACCAGACACTCTAAAAGCTCGTTTAACAGGCACGGCCCCAATAATAGAGAGCTGCAGTAATGTCTGTGGGCGACAGATCCTGTTCCCGTTTTCTGTGCCTGTCACCGGCCCAAGACCGCGCCGACAACGTCCGCTGGTGACATTTTCTGATCTAGGCCGCCTCACAACTGACGCCAGAGCAAGCGTCCGAGCAGTGCAGAGCTGCATCCATCCCCCAAACACAGCTCACATATCATATCACAGCAAACGCCACGGAACACACTAGCTACTATCAATGTCACAGAGTATAACTCAAAATACACCACAGAGCCACTATGAAGCCGGGGACAATACTTAGAGTGAGCACGTTACAATGAACACAACATACATAAAGCACGCGCGTCAGAGACAGTAAAAAAGCACACTACAAAACTCCACAGATCCCATCACAGAACACATCACAGATCAGGTCACACACAACAGATCAAAGGGCATATCAGGCTGCGACAGCATCCCTGGGCATACCTAGAGCACATCTAGAGCACGTCTAGAGTATGTACGTCTCGAGCACAACAGAATCGGCGCCCGGCGGAGACGAGTTGGCCACGGCACTGCGCACTACCACCGACCACAGACCACTGAGCAGGATGGGTTGCCTTTGCCGCAATTCACGTTGGACGCTAACATTTACAAGACCTTTCGCACAGCTTCAAAAACCTTTACCGAACATTTGAGAGACCTTTACGGAAAACGACATTTGGTTTCCGGAGAGCGACTTTGATCATTGCCGTGAAAGGTGAGTTCCGCGTGGAACGTGATGAAACCCTTTATGGCTGTGGATCACGGTTTGAGGTCACGTTAAGGTCAATCTATGAACCACAACTATGCAAACAGATACATTCATATATAATGCAATCATACCGCATATGGTACCTACATTAAACATGTGGCTCTGCGAAGTGATCCGCCCAGTGTCACCGACACCGATAAAAAGATTACATTATAAATGCACTTTGCGCTACATGGGTGTAGGCGATTTCAAATCTGGGGGACCTCGGTCAATGTATCAATGTAAATCAATGTAATATCAATGTAATCAAGTCAATGTAAATAACGTATATTTTGCACATAACATTTACGTTAATCAATGCCGATTTTCCTCGCAGTATCTTAGATTGATTTAAAAATACGGCAGCATTGCAACCTTTGGCGTGAATTCAACAAGAAGATAATCTCTAAAAGAAAGTCGTCATATCAAATAAGAGATCAGCCGGTAAGAAGATGTAAGATGGCAGCCGTGCTTGGTATGAAAATGGAAATTTCAAGATATGTGGCAGGTAACAACAAATTGCAAATGGCCAATTTTCGCAGAAATGGTCAAATCACAAGTAAAGAGATAAAGCTGGGCACAAAAAAAAAACTGACACGGCAACGCTGTGCCTTAAAACCATGAAAATAGCCACAAATAAACATACCAACAGGTGCGACAGCGTACCAACCCAGACAAATGTGAGATTTTCCCTCGCTTCGGCCACGAAACGTTGCGTGCATGATTATATAAGCACGATATGCACCTAGCGCCGATACAGTCATGGAGAGATAAGCCAAACCCAGTCAGCTGATGTCTGTGGGAAATGTGAGTACTTGTGGCCGGTACGGAGACCAGATGTGCACTGTGCAGTGCATTGTTGCGGCGGCAGGGAATGCGTGGGAGAAGAATTGATATCCTCATGAACAAGTAATACGATACAGCTAATCCATGGAGCAAGCAATGTAAAATGCAAAAAGCAATTAGTAGCTTTGTTGCTTGACATGAGCCAAGCGTGCATGCATTTGGTTATATAACTAGAAACAAGCGGAATTATGTTTTGCATCTGTTGAAACCTTCTGTGCAGTTAATGCCAGAAAAGGAAATAACCAAACCGTACACAGCTTCGCATCGGCTCAACTCTTAAGTGACGATTACCAGAGTCTTTGACAGACCACAAAGCTGTCAGTCACAACAGCTCAAAGTAGCGACGAATTGCGGATTAAGCGTTTTAGGTTACCTACACATGTAGAGTAGCGACGGGCATAACAAGGGTATGATAAAGTATGCTAAGTCATGATCGAGCAAAGGGAAACAGCAAGAAAGCGAACGAGCACGCAAGTGAGCAAGTAAAAGTGGAAGATGAAGAGAGAGAGAGAGAGAGAGAGAGAGAGAGAGAGAGAGAGAGAGAGAGAGCCGTGCCGGACGTACCTGCGAGGGCGGTGAGATGGCCCAGACCGCCGTCGACTTGCCGCTCAGCTGAATGACGTTTACGTCTGTATGATCGTAGTCGGCGAGGAAGCCCAGAGCGCGCCGGTCGCTGCGGTAGTGGAAGCTGATGTCGTCCAGGTCCTTCTCCGTGATGCTGTAAGATGGAAAAATGTCGCACATTTATTCAGGCATGGGATGAATGCTGAAGGAATGAAAGCCTAGCGTTTACGTAAGGTTCGTTGTCTTTCGTCGTATGCGAGCAGAAGGGTTTATCGTCGAATTTCAGAGCCAACGATGGAAATAGTGAAATGGCGAGTATAAAGGGCAGAATTGAGATGAAATGGAAAATAGCGACTGCTTGTCTTACACCGAACCAATCGTTAAAAGGGTGGGTGTACGACGTAAGTACTACGAGTACGTACCCATGGGGTGTCCCCAGCAGATTTAAGCACGATTTTGATGATCACACCCAATTAACATCCTCTCAGGATTACGCAGTTATCCACCCTAAACTCCTCCCCTTCACACACTTACCGCAAGATCGAGTTCTGTTCGGCCGTCATCCGGAAGATGGGCTCGTAGGCGCCGACTCCGATCTCCATGGTAACCTCATACGGCACGTTGGGCAGGCCGACCGCGTTACTCAGCGCGAACAGCACCAGCGGAGCGAATATGACAGCCACGATCAGCAGCAGCCAGCCGCCGCCGAACACACATTTCTCAGTGGTGCGACGCGGCTCCCCGCTCACGTAAACCTGCGTCCCCTCCTGCACGCGCTGACACTTGATCAGGAAGATGTGCGCGTAGATGTCCTCCATTTTGAGCCAGTTGAAGATGTCCAGAGAGGTTTTCGTCCACATCCAGTCCATGAGAGCGCGCAGTTCGTACAGGAACGGAATAAGCATGAATCTGTCGGGATACAAGGAAGCTTGTCAGCTTGTACGAAGTTTTAAGTTTAAATCAATCACATCCAGCATAACGAAAATTATTATTCATCCAGTCAATTCTGTCATGCTCCAGTCTTCCCTTACCCTCTGAAGGCCATTTTGTTGAAGAACGTATACTGCTTGGTGAGGAAGTTGCCCAGTATTCGGGTGGGGTAGCCGGAGCGAATCTGGTACGCCGAGAACAGCAGGTAGATGCACTTGATCATGTACCAGACACGCGGTGCCACCGCCTGGTCGAACTCCCTGCGACAGAAGTGGTTGGCGACACGGTTAGACATAGATAACGTAAAATATAAGAATGGAAATCACTCGAGACAATGGAAATTTACACTAATTACAGATATCTACAAGTCGTATCACCGGAACAATAGCTGGCGCCTAAATTAAAAGAAAAAACTATTGAAACAAGGACAAGGTAGTTGCAGCAGCCAAAGAATATTAGATGACATTGTAAGACGTGATCGTTTATGTTCACATCTTGCAACAGTTATTCAAGATGTTATTCCATCGAAACCATTAACTCAATTACTTGTTTTGCTTGCTTATTGGGGCTTAAGGGCGCGACGACAGCAATGGTCATTTCACGCCCCCGGAAAATAATCAAGCACTTGTAGGCTTTGAAATGAACCATCAAAGTAGACCAAGTAAACACGTCCGGAAAGAAGTAAAACGAACCACACCAATCCTGCACCCATCGGTCGCAAGCCCAGTCGAAAAATCAAACATTTACCCTTGTCATCAAATCAATACCTACCTGTCTGTCATCGCCGGCAGGACGAAGAACAGCCACCCGTGTACCACAACGACCAACACATACTGGAACACGAGCTTCCACAGGGCCGTCTTCCTCAGATACAGCGCCCGGTCGACCAGGATCAGAAGGAAGTTGAGCGACAGGATGATGAGGAAGGGGATGGGCACCCGGTTCTCCTCCACCACCGACGAGATGTCGTCGCCGCTGCCTCCCTGCGGCGGCTGTGGGCGGAGGGCGCCGGGTCAGATCTCAAAGGTCGGAGGCTAAGGTATTACGCAGACGGAAATTAACATGGTTTTGCACGAGCTTCTCGATAAGGTGAGCTCTTCCAGACAACAGTAAGGACGCCAGTTAACATGCTCGCCTTCAATGCCTTCTCGAGCAATATTGCACGAACTTTGAGAAGTTTCAAAGACACTCACGCCAAACGACGAGAAGCCGAGGAACACCACGAATATGTTGATGAAGTCGCAGATGAACATGTAGGCGTATACATCCACCTTCTCTTTGCCAGAGTTGGAGAGGAGGGACTTGAAAAACTCGCCCACAGCAGACACGTAAAACTTGAAGCTGAAAATAATCCGATTATAGCCAATGAAATCTATCACGGAGATATTGACAACACCACGGATTATAACATGGGCAGATTGCGGTTTAAGTCTTCAATAAATATGGTTGCAAACAAGTTACACCAGCCTTAGCTGGTCAAGACAAACAGCATTATATTTTTCGGATCGATCCCGTCAAAAACTGGACTCTTGGAATTCTCCTTACCTAACCGGTAGCGGCAATCTTCCCGATCAGTTTGACTCTAATCAGTACACAGTAAATACATTTAGAAACTAGCCAAGTATAATAGGTTAAGCCGTTTTCCCGCTACATTACTTCTCGCTACGCCTTTGTTGGTCAATTACAAGATACTTAGTGGCATGCTTTGACAGCCTAGATAAATAGGAAAGGCGAGATTACGGAATAGCTATCCTCACATATTCAAAAAATAACTGTATTTTCAAACTGCTGACCTCAGTTCATTGTTACTTCGTTCTCGGCGTTAAAAGCAAATGGGACAAACACTTCGTTGAGCTACGCTTCCTGTCTCTAGACCAATGCATCTATCTGAATCAAACGGAACTGAGCCAGGCATTTCTCTTACGACACCAGTTCGTTTGACAAGTAACTTGTACCCATATAAAGTGAGAGTGGCACGAATACTTGCAAAGTAGGTGTTAGTGATGTCAATTACGGAAAATCGGAATACCGATACCAAACCAAATACCAACCAAAACTATGGGCAAATACCGAAACCAAACCAACTTGGGAAAATGAGGGAAATACCAACTTTTTACCGATTTCTTAACCTCTTATACATTAGTGGGGGTTCACGATACCAACAAAATACCAAACACGTTACGATTGAAATACCAAATACCAAGTTGGTATCGGTTTGGTATCGGTATGCCAAAAAGTTAGTATCTGATTGACATCTCTAGTAGGTGTACTCGGTTCCAGTAGAAAATATTCCGGTAGGTCAGAAGCCAGAACTATGCCATTTAATTAGTCGAACTCGTTTTGGAATTAGATAAATCCTACGAACTTCACCTATCTATATCTGTTTCTTTGAAATAAATAGATAGCACGGTTCCTTCCATCAGCTCTACCGTCTCCCCAGACCCCAACCCTCCCCTACCTCACCCTTGGCGACTCACCCCTCCATGAGCTCGCCCTTGGCTTTGCGCGCCACGGCTCGGCTACGTTCTGCCACGGTGAGTCGCGTGGCGCCCAGGTGGTCGGCAGGCGGGACCACCGGCGGGGTCTCCAGCTCAGCGGCGTCATCCACGTCCTTCCACAGGCCGAGTGTCTTCATCACCACCCTGTCGAAGGGGAAGGGAATGGAGGTGATAAAGGGAGAGTCTGGGACGGGAGTGAGGCGTTATGTCATACTGGTGGGATGGGCGCTGAGATGATGAGAATGAAGATTTGTTGCAGATTTGTTGCAGAATTCGTGCTTTGTGTCTTTAGGGTGATATAACTACTTAGGCTCTCAAGTCTCAACATACGGCGCATTTAGACATACCGTAATAAGCTTATGTGCCTAAATATATGAGGAAGCATTGAGTACCCTCCGTCCAATAATAGCCCTGCAAAACTACCTGCATTGTCAAGGGTTTCACAGCAGCTGCAGCCTGCAATGCGGTTATCGCGCGATCGCACTTCCCACACAAGGATACAGAAAGAGGGAGCGAAAGAAAGAAATGAGCATATGTCGTGCCTAGTAGTCCTCAAGTCATCATAGGTATGAAATAAAAATGCAACTGCCAGCGTGAAGATAGGAAGAGATATCAAAGCTTACCTATGGAAGAAAATGATGAGCAGCAGAACTAGGTCGTAGACGGCATACTGGTCTTTCCGCTCAATGCCCAGGATTCGAGGCGGCCAGAACGGGGCGTTCAGCTTCTCCACCTGATTCCACGGGAAGAAGGCGAATTGGAACATGTACTTGATGATGATGATTGTCTGAAACAGGAGCCGGTAGTGGTTATAATACAGAGGGGTTGGTGGCAGGACATTGCAGGGGTTGACACTGTGGCTTCTGTCAATAATTCATCGGCACGACAATGAAAGCCCAAAGTGCGTTGAATATACCGCAATTTGTAAAGAGTAATGGGGACTCGTAAATAATATTGCGATGTCGCTGAAATCACAAAAAAAAACAGCGCGTGTATGCACATCAAAGAAGATGCAACCGAACTATAGCACGGGTGCCATGGAGGTCTGGCACCATTAAGTTTTGACCTTGAAGAAAACAACAATGAAAAATACCATGGGATCAAGTGGATCCGAAAACGGCAGATTGGCTAAGCCCACCTCGGTGTAGGCGATCATGGTGACCCAGAACGTCTTGCTGGGCCGCGGCACGGAAAGACTGCCCCAGAAGAACACCATCATTGGTAGTGGCAGCGACAGGATCGACGCAGACACCATCTGGCGGAGAGAACGTAGGTACAAAACGAGCGTCAATAGAAGGGAAAAGACAGGGGTGAACCGCACACACACAAAACAAACACAGTGCCGATTACTCGTAACAATTTAACAACCAATTGAAAACAGTGGTCGAAATATTAACTGATAGCCCAATAAACCTTTCAGTTGACTTATTTCCGGGACATGGCAGAGAAAATTAAGCTTTCGAAACCAAATATAACATAGTAAGCAAGACAGCTTTCGCACCACAATGACAAACACAACCGACCCATTCAATGACTCGGTGTTTCCATCTCGCCACTAACCTGATTAATAAAGACCACGATGTAGGCGACCATCTCGGACCGGCTGACCACGGCGTACCAGAGGGCTACGGCCAGCTGTTCGAGGATCTGGCGCGCGCTGGCCGTGCTCAGGTCCTCCGAGACCGACTGTCTGACGCCCTCCTCCACGTCCTCTGAGCCGTCACTGATGGGTCTGCCGGACGGAGGAGGTCGGAGATGGTCGCAAGGCATAATGAATAATGATTAATGATGCAACGAAATGTTGAACATCGAGCAAGGCTTGGCCAGCAAAGAAAGATGACTCTCAGTTAAGTGCAACGTAAGGCGTATGAGCTTCAAGAGCATGCCGCATCAAAACGAATCGTCCCCATGCCAGTGTAGTGGATCGCCCTGACAAGTAAAACATTATCCACTGCAAAGGCCTCAGACATACTCTGTGCCGGTTTTCCTGGTCGGATCGGTCAGTCGCGGGGTGTCCTCTGGGGTCAGGTAGAGGAGCGGAGTATCGCCCCCACCCCCGGGGTCCGCCACCGCCGGCCGGCCGCCCCCGCCCCCACCACCAGAGGGCGGGGCCAGCGGGGATGACTCGCTAGGGCGCTCCTACGACTCCTGAAAGCACGGACAGTCACGGACGGATTACAAAGAGAGATAGACGGTCGTTAGGAGAGTGACAACGAAAGGTAGGTGAAGGGAACCTTCCTTGATATGCCAAAAGACAAAAGGCCGACCAAATAGTTGCTACGAGTGTACGCCGACTGAACGGTAAAAAATAATTTTTTACAATATCTAAAAACATGGGCCAAAACAATCAATAACTAATTAATGACACGAGAGAGACAACCCAGTGATGTTTCAAGGATAAGTACAGCTGCACATAATTGTTGGCCATTTCGCGAGCTGATTATTAGTTAGTGAGCACGATGCCTCGGACGTCTTTTCAGCGGTCCCTACCTTGAGCCGCCGCTTCTGCTTGGAGAGCTTCTTGGCGATGTAGCGGTAGTCTGCTGACACGTTGTTCAGCTTCACGGTGAGCGCGATCAGAATGCTGGCCATGAACTCGAGTAGGAAGTTGCCGGCCGACTTCAGACCCAGGATGGTGCGACGCAGCAGAGAGGCCAGTGCTGGAGCATATGAGCATGACAGGGGTTAGCAAGACATCTAGCAGAAATAGCCCACCTACTCCTACTTACTTATGTCGGAAAACTCTTAAAAAAAGTATAAAGGCACTGAAGGACGGCATATGATAATGCTAATAGCTCATATCAGCACAACACAGCGGGTTAGATGCTCATATAGCCAGTAGCTGGTGCACCGACCCGGCTGAGCTGGTTCTCATGGACCAGCTCAGAACTTAGGCCACGAGATGCCCAGAGGCCTCCTCTTTTGCCCAGAGGCCAGAACTAGCACGCCCGAGAGGCCAGAGCTTAGGCCACTCAGCCACGCACATGCGGGCCAGCTTGAAGGGACAAGCTCTTGTTAGAGCTGAACTCACTTGTTGGATTGGCGAGGAAGTGACCGTCAGTCCGAAACGGGGTGGATGATCAAGGATGAGGTTGGGCGAGTCCTGAGGAAAGAAATTGCGGATGGAAGGTTTTGATCAGCATCAATGAGGACAAATCCAAGCGAAAACCATGAGATAGCTTGAGAAACATTTGAGCTTCAAGCACGAGCTGTACAATAAGCACTAAGCAGCTAAGTAAAAACAGGAAAGGCGTTTCGACTGAACAGCGAAGCAACCAAATAGTTGGGTAACTTACCAAATATCTCAGCACCGTGACATTTTCAACAAACGACCCCGCATCCCCGCACTCACCTTTCTGTCCGGCTCCCTCCTCTTCCTCGCTGCTGTCCGAGTAGTTCGTATCGCGTCCGTCGTGTGGCGCCACTGGCGCGTCGTCGTCGTCCTGAGAGTCCTGAGACTGGAGTGTCGCCAGCGACGAGATGGGTAGCGAGTGGGTGCGCGGAGCTGGGTCGCTGTGTAGTCGCGTCAGCCGGGCCCGCGGCGAGCCCTGGCGCTGGAGGGGGCAAAGGGTAGAGAGAGGGGTCAGATGGGGCAGGGAGGTCATAATCCGGACCTGAGGGGAGCTCTGCCGCTGCTAGCGGCGGGGTATGGGGTCGAATGTGCTACTAATGTAATGTGTACTTCCCTGTATACCTATCTCGCTCACCTACCTATTACATTTGATACACCGTCAATGGAACCCAAACATTAACAACACCAGCCTGCCTACCTTCTCCAAACATCCTAGTAAGCCTCCCTGCCGTCGCTCCTACCACACCATACTCACAACGGGAGCGTGCTGTGATTTAGCTCTCTGCAGAGTGCCGCGCCGCCGGACGCCGCCTCCTCTGCTCTCTCCTCCCAGGGCAGAGAGCTGCTCCTCTCCCGACCGTCTGCGTGCCTTCCTCGCGTCCTCGGCCGCTGAACTGAAGTCCTTCATGATTCCCGACAGGAGAAGCTGAGGGGAGATGTGCGCGTTAGTTCAGGTGTAAAACAAACATGGGCGGTACAATAACAGTGAAACATTACGCGGCATTACATGCGCTGCGCATAGGCAACGTAAGTGTTTTGACTTACGACTGGACACAGATGAAACATCAAACTTAGCACCTGTAAACTCTTTCAGAACGTACTCGGGTTACTGGAACCAACTTTTACATCGGCAATATCAGCAATAATTTAATAACTAACCTGCTCTGGCGAGATCCCTCGTAAATCTAACCTGCCCTGGCGAGATCTCTCGTTAATCTAACCTGTCCGGGCGAGATCTCTCTGCTGGTGTCGTCCGAGGGCGGCGCCAGCTCCGGGGGCGGCTCCTCCAGCTCGCGTTCCAGGTCCAGCTCCAGGTCTTCAGCGGCACACGAGTGGATCACTGGGACGTCCCGCGCCCCAGAGACCACGCGGAGAGAGAGAGAGAGAGAGAGAGAGAGAGAGAGAGAGAGAGAGAGAGAGAGAGAGAGAGAGAGAGAGAGAGAAAGAGAGAAAGAGAGAGAGAGAGAGAGAGAGAGAGAGAGAGAGAGAGAGAGAGAGAGAGAGAGAGAGAGAGAGAGAGAGAGAGAAGGGAGAGGGGAGGCGAGTTGTTAGTGCAGCAAGCGACACATAGCGAATGACACAAAGCGGTGCGAGCACAGAGCTGGGTGGTGAATGTTGGGGATACACAATTGTCCAATATGTTTGCCAGGTAACTCAGCAATAATTTTGGTCTCAAGAGTCTTAAGTTTAAGCACATAATTCTCAACCGGTTAAAAATGTTTAACACCCATTCACAATATTGGATGGAGCAGTATACATACGGAATACGGATGCTGATACGTTTACCAAAATAATCGATCAAGGATTTAAGACGGACAATGAAAACATGCAATTAGACACAGAAGGCGTCCGTGATACGATACGGACATTTAGGACATCACGACATATCCTGTTATCACGGAAGGTAGACGACTAATTAGCGGACCCTGGTAATTTATTACAGAATATGTATGTTGTCAGCAGCTTAAAAATCAATCGATGAGCAACAACTAGTTAATCAGCGGCAGACGCGGTAACACTAAAAGCAGCGCGAGTTCATAGCAAGCACGCAGAGACACAAACACGAAACACACAAAGATTCCCGCGGCGTCATCGCCAACCACCAGAAAGAATTCTGGGCTTAGTGGAGTAATCTAAACCCTTTAGCACCAATAGTCAAAGCGAATCACACAGTTAAACTGAGATTTGATTAAACCTACGGGCTTCATTTGGAACAATAACAGTTGCAAGTAGTTTTTAAGCTATTGTACGGGCCTGAGAGTAGGTACAGACAGGCCAGGACAGCCCCATGGGCGTAAATGTGTCCACGTATCACATTCCAAATAAAAGGTTTGCTTATATGTATAGAAAACGGGATGTGAAGGAAGATGGAACCAAATACAGGCATATGAGCCTGTCACTTTCCCCTAAACAACGCAGCCTTCCTACACTTCAACCCACATCGTCCCTAAAGCCAGTGTCACGCAGCCTAATAAAACGAGGGTACGTGTAAGCCAATTTCGAGAACCAACACATACCGTGTGTGCAGTTTATGTTGGCACACAACGGCATACCAGAATCTTGGGCATAACCTGAACATAACTGGTATACAGCGGAAACAAATGACAGCAAATGAGCGATGAGCTAAGATTCTTCTGGGGAATAAGTCGCATAGCTATCCATTGTCCATCGCTGGCTAGTTAAAATCATTGCACGGATCGTAAAAGATCCATCGGCGACAGTAATATAGCTGACTCCTAGATGCCCACCATACTTGATATCCACGTGCAACAAGTTACCTGTTACACATTCGATGTTCCATGTCCACAACACGTTTCAACAGCTTGAACGAAAGCCGACCAAGCGTCCATACAAGACGCTTCTCGTCGTACAAGAAATAAGGAGACAGGAAAGAACTACTACTGTAGAGTTGGACGGACGAACAGCAATATACAGAACCGTTTAACGATGCCGCAAAACGGCTTATTATCGATCACCACAACAAAGTAGATTTAACAGGGACGACTCACGACACCATGCTTTTATAAGGGACAGTGGGCGTGGGCAGAGCCGGCCTGGCGTACATGATGAAGCGCAAAAAGTGAAACTCGATTCGATCTATTTTTTTTCTTTGACCAAGAGCGAAAAATATATTCGTATGCATTACATCTTAACCTGGTATAAATTGCTTAGAAACTTTGGAAGTTGAATGAATAACGATTAGATTTATCTTTTTACCATTCCATCACCTTGGCCAGCCCGCCACTCCCCGTCACCCCTGCTGGACCCCTCCGAATATCTCGCGCAGCGCTACCGTATCCGATCAGCGCCGGCGGCGGCGGCTCGAGCGGCGGCGCCGGCGTCGACGAGACCGACGAGGCCTCGCTGGCCGTCGGCAGGCCGTGCGCAACCGACGTCGACGCCTCCATGAAGCCGTCCAGGGAGAAGGTGGGCGCCGTGGAGGACGGCGTTCCGGCCGTGGGCGGGTTCAGGGACAGCCGCGGACTGCGCTCGCCCCACACCCGGCCCGTGGCCAGAGAGTTGAGCGGAGTGGAGACCAGAGAGTCGGTGCCGGCTGCCGTTCCGGGGTCGGTTCGGGGCGAGCCAAGGTAGTTAGTGGGAGGTCGGTGGGCGGAGAGAGACCGGGAGGGTGGTGGGCTCGGGCTGGGGAAATGTTTGAGCTGGTGCAAGATTAAAATGCTACAGGAAATGTTATCAGTGGACAAAAAAGTGAAAAGGACTGAATGGCATGTGATTAGGTGATCGAAAGTTTGCTTTCAATAAATAAAAAAAATGTGTTTCACTACTAAAAAAAAAAAAAACAAGCCTCAGCTCTCGGGACAATTTTGCAGAGGCAGCTCGAACAACAGACGGATTATTCAGGCCTGCACAGATATCAGAATTGAGGGATCAAACCGAACGGAATTTATCAGATAGGTAGTTTGTGCTCATCAAAAGAAAATGAAAGGAGCCGGCCAAGGGCTAGCAGCGGCCCAGTAAAAATGTGGATAATACAAATTGAGGCATAGCTAGGATCAGACGAAATCATGCCACCGACCGTTCTACAAGATGGCATGACGAGGACTTCAGGATAAAATTGGATCGTTACTAACGGAATAAAAGCAAAACAGAAAAACCTGCATCCAACAGAGGTCAATCTTGAAACGAAAATCATCCGAACCAAAACTAAACCATATGCAGCCTATCAGCCCCGTGTTTTTCTTCGGATGTCTTCTGAAGTATACGCTGCGTAATGTGCACGGTATCGGCATATAAAAAACATGAAATAACACCGAACGAAATAATATGGATGGTATCATGCGGACGTAAAGACATCAGTAGAGGAAAAGAAAACAATGGAAACGTTCGAATAACTATATCGAAATGCTTAAAAGACGCCCTCAGATCCGTTTGTCATGGAATGATTAACACACAGAAATGAGAGTAAAACAAGAGAGGAGTCTAAAAAGTGGTCATAGGATATCATCCAGGCGAGGCACCAGGGAAGCCTGAATAAATACCGAGATAGTAGCTCACATCAATCGTCAAACCAACAATAGTAAAATCAGCGGTCATCGCTCCTGCCTGGTTCAGACAGGTGTCAATCGTAGATCCCAAAAAATCATCAACAGTGGGTCAGATCACTGGTTAGGGTTAAACACTTCAAACTCAGTATCACATGCATAGCCAACACCACCACACTGAGACCCCCAACACGGCGTTAGTGTGCGCGGTGCTGAAGGGAAAGCCCTGTTCCCAATAGATTAAATAAAACGTAGACGCTTCGTACCTCCTCCACAAAGGACCAGCGGTACAGCGACGAATGTTAGTGAGCCACGACGAACGGGGCAGAGAGAACAGTGAAAGGAACACAAAGAGGGGACATCGAGCGCCAATAACCCTATGCAATCCTCAAAAGTACGTGAAAAGTTAAACGCAAACCCGGTACAAAGTTGTGAATTTGTAAATAAGAAAAAACACATGCCAATGAAAATGAATCTCGTCAAAGGTGTTAGTGTGGTTCGGAACAAAAATAAACAGGCATTCTCAGCAAAACGAAAAAAAAATGTAAAGCTTGTTACTCCATAAAAGTTACCAAAAAGACATCTTTTCCCGTTCATATACGCGAGTCCATTAACCTTCCCTAATCGTGAAATCCAAACAGACTTAACCGCAAAACCTGCGCGAATTACAAAAAGAGGTTAATCCCGCCCCTCCCAGTGGAGTGCCCGCCCCCGTCCCCATTTTCCTACCTTGGTAGTGGTTGTCGTACTTCTGGCGATGTTTCTGAATGCGTTGTTCCTTGATCCGCTCCATCTTACGACGAATGTCGGCCATCGCCTTTTCCTCCTCGGCCTGCCGCTTCTCGATCTTCTTCTTTCGCTCACGCTCAATCATCTCCGCCCCGCTGAAGTACGCACATCACAAATTAAAACTCAAGAGAAAACTTTTACGAAATGATTTACAACAGATTCGTAGTTACAAAATTTTCCAAAATGAGCATCCCAGACTTTTTGAAAGTTGATGATTGACCAAAAGCTATCAAGTTATCATAAAGACACACAATAACATCAATAAAGATATCAATAAACGGCCCTATTTTGATGCATACCTATTCAACAACATAATCAAGTCGTTTACGACCATAACACCAATATTGCGGGTAACCTCTGGCACCACCGGATCACCACCATGGTCTCCCACCTGCTGGCCAGCATCTGCTGTGCGCGCGTCTCCAGCACCAGGTGCTGGAAGTAGTGGCTGGAGAAGAAGCGCAGCTGGAGCAGCAGACAGGCGAACACGATGCCGTCCCAGAGCAGGCCCGCCTCCGAGTGAGGCACCGGACACTCGGACGACGAGGCTGAGAAACACGGGCGGAGGAGAGGTGACAGACTTTGACGAAAAGAAGAAAAACACATGATTGGCAATGGTTAGCAGAGCGGGACTATTTCTTTCAACTGGGCCGTAAAACGGCATCACGCGTTTGGGAATCACAGTCCTATTCGAAAAGGGATGGTACATTAAACTTGCATACAGTATGAAACCAAACGAAGTAAATCCATCCCACACATCTAGATTTGTCACGATATGGGATGCATCCAATGCGTGCTGTCACTGCCGGAGCAGGTAAATATAAAAAAAAACGTGCATACCTGGCTCGCTGATGGGTCTCAGGCCGGGCTCCAGCCGCTGCAGACAACCGATACCCATCAGCTGAACAAACCAGCACGCGTGGTCAATGAAGAACGGCAGGAAGACGCAGCCCATGATTTGGAAGATGGAGCACTTGAGTGTGATCACCACCACGCAGTAGGTCAGCAGCAGGATCCACCTGTGTTAGAGGAGGGTGGCAGTCCGTCAAGCACCAAAGCGATGAGTCTTATCGTAGTACGGGATAAAAACGGTGAGTAATGACTCGCAATACTTGAGAAAACAGAAGTCGGATTTTTACCAGCTATGTTTCAGTTATCTCAACAATAAGATTAAAAACCTCATTGAATGATGTTCATATGAAACAAGTGATACTTGCGAAGCATTTACAGAGGCAGACCTCACCATCGCCCACAAAAAGCCGTTGAATTGTTAAGCAACAGAGAACACCTTTTGCGCCTCTGACCTCTTCCTGATGTCCCTGAAGGGCAGCAGGTAGTAGTCGGTGCCCTTCCAGAGGAAGATGAAGGCGCTGGCCACGTAGAGCAGCGACAGCAGCGTGATGCGGTTGATACCCGCCAGGAAGACGACGGCCAGCGTCAGCCAGTAGGACGAGAAGAACACCACGCGCTTCAGCACGTCCAGGTACGTCCTGCAGGCGAGGGCGGGCAGCAGGGTGATGTGGTGTCAGATGTGGACGCGCACAACACACAGTACACGAGTTAACTAGCAGCGTACATTATCCACGGCATCTCACTGTTTGAATAAATCGGTGATGTGAAAAGGTGGCACCAGAATCGATAAGGAAAAGAAACCCTATCAACTCCGATTTTCTCATAACCCCAGCGGGACAAATTCTTTCTAGAGGCAATGCACATGACCCCATCCACATGTCCCTTCCCAAGTGGGAAGTCCAATTATGATTATGTCCCAATAAGGACATTATCAAGATCCTAGCGGCACGTACCCCTTCCTGGTGATGTAATCGGGCACGCCGATGACGTAACCGCTGCTGAGCTTCTGCTCGTCGATCTGCCGGTTGCTGCCGGCCAGCTGTCGCACCTGCTCACACTCCTCTCGGCTGAACACGCGCCGCTGACAGCACGCCAGCAGCAGCAGGAAAAAGTCCGCTGTGCGCAGCCAGGGGAGAATGTTAGAGAAAGGGCTGAGGGGTGATGAACTTTTCACAGACATTGTTCATTGAACAAGGTACATTAAGTGGTCGTAATGTGGTAATTGTACAAGAAAATGCGTGCTAAGAATGAAAAAAGAAGAGTTAAATTGCACGAAATTAGATGCAAGTGTTTAGAAATAGCCATTATCGACGATAGGGTTAACACTTAACATGAATTTAACTGAAACGCATATTCAACTTACGATTAGTTCTCGCGTTACTGGTGGATGTTTATAGTCGAAACTTTACCGTGAGTTTTAGAGACTTTATCACGGGTAAGAATATCATTTCCGACTTACCCACGAGTTTTTGCGCTACGGGCGGATCCTTGTAGTCGGGAAGGTAGAGCCACTGTCTCAGCTCAGGGTTCATTACAGACGCGTACGGATACTCTGAAATAGCACACGTGTTCAGTGAACCATCAAGAACCACACAACACGCTTGAGACACAACAACACTCCAAAAGTAAGACTCACCGGCTGTATGTATATCAACGTCTGAAAAGACAAATGCAGTTCAATCTTCTGTATTTTCTTCTGTGGCAGTGTAAGCATTCCAACTGCCTTAGTAGCACTTCATAAATCAAAGAGCTGTATTTGTAGTTGAAAATGCCCCAGCCCATCCCTACCGTAGCAGAGTCCGGCGGGCAGTCCGAGCGCCAGCAGGTACTGTAGCGGGGTCAGCACTGCAGCGAACACCACAAACACTGGCCAGACGCGGGCCAGCGCCGGCCGCCGGAGGCTGAACAGGCCGCACAGCCACAGGGCGTACAGCACCGAGACCACGTCCAGCCGCACGCCGACCAGGATCACCAGGGCGATCAGAGTGATCTGCGGGAGAGAGCAGCGCAGAGGAGACGGGTAAGCGAGTCGAGATGAACAGGTGGCGAGAGAATATTGCAAGTGGAATTAAAATATTCTTAACCCGCGCACCGACGGGGGTCTGCGCCAACTTAGTACCGACGGGGGGGGGGGCGGATGACCGCCCCCCCCCCCTGAGATCTCGAGAACGAAGCAAGATAGCGACAAGCGGTAAACGGCATCGGATACGCACGGACAAGGTCTACAATTTTTACTAAGGTCATTTTCAGGTCAGGTCAAAGATGACGTCACAGGGGTCGAAAAAGTCAAAATGGCGGCGCTAGATATGGAGAGGGTTTTTCTCGAATAACTTTCGAAGTAGTCGAGATAGGAACAAACTAAGGGCATCATCGTGATCCTCTCGTCAATCCGCATCGAATGATATATATGTTGACCTCGAAAGGTCAAGGTCAAAGGTTGACCTCAGGTCACGTGACCTCGAGGTCATCATGTATATCATTCAATGCGTCTTGACGAGCTGAACACAATGAGACCATCCGCGCGGCTGTATCTTGTTCCTGTAAGGAGTTATTGTCAAAAAACCTTTGGTGACCTTTGATGACGTCACATGACCTTACAGCTGCCCAACAGCAAAACAGACCTCAAGGTAGTGAAGGTTGATCGTATGTGAAGTCATGTATGGTATATGGGGCCCGTTTTAGTGGTAAAAACAGGGAGTTGATTTTTCCCCCATTGACTTATAATGGGGAGGTCGCGAAATTGACCTGACCTTAGGTCACCGACATCAAAATTCCGAGATATACAAATTGTAGCTACTAGGGGAGAGTGGGGCACATTCGTGCATGGGGCACATTCGTTTTTTGCAGTTTATGGGAAGACGAGTGACTGCACGAGCTAAAGGTAAATTATGAAAATATGTCTATCATTGCCGCCCTTCGCTCACTGTAGAAGACAACACTGTACCTGCGGTCATGCTGGATAAAAACGCAAATTTGTAATATCCGTGCGCTTTCCAAACTTTTCTCATATCAACCATTTTCGTGATCCTGACTCGGAAATGTGGGTTAACTTTTCAAAATTGAGAGCAAAGAAGCTCACTTCATTCACGGAACTGCTGCAAACTAGTTTGTTGAAAAACTGTCATTTTTTTCAATAAGAAATTTTGAAATATTTTACAAATAACGTTGTGGAGCAGGTTCGTGTACGCACTGCCTAGGGGCACATTCCTCCATATTTTTTTTCGTTTTTGCGATTTATGACTTTATCTGTAGTAGTGACGCCTGACTCAGTCTCGGCTGCTTGCGACGTCGTGACAAGTAGTTCAGGTGTCCTTGGAAAGGTCACGAGGCGGGTCAATGGCCGGCGGCTGGCACATTCTTGTTGGCCAGCCCATTCTTTCTACATATGTTGTGCAATGCATTCTTGTCGAAAGGAATCAAGTGAAAGGACCCCCTGCCAATTTCTGTTGATAAATTTTTGGCAATGCCCGGTAATTCCTCGAACTTTGCAGGGTGCACGGAAGTGCCCCACCCCTTGCACGAATGTGCCCCATAGGTGGGGCAGTTTCGTGCAAAAGTTCAGAGTTATTAAAAGTCATTTTTTCTAATAGAAGCGATAACTTTAGAGGATAACTTTTAAAGAGGAAAAATATCTGCAATAGTTCCTTTCCATACTACAATCAACAATTTTGCCATTGCACTAACCGACGAACAGATATATGGATTTATCCATTTTTTGCACGAATGTGCCCCACTCTCCCCTAATGACCTAATAACATCCTGCGACTTTCAAAGGCCTCCGACATCTACTGTAGCTCTGGCACGGTGACAAAGTTGCAAAAAAGTGACTTGAGGTTGGGTCATTCAAAGTGACCTGGTGACCTGACCTTAAAAGTTAGGAGGTTCAAACTTGCACAACATGTGTAAAATTGATGAGAGAATAGTCATACCAAATTTCGCGGCGCTACGCGCCGCGGTTTTCCCGCTATCCGCGAAAAACCTCAGGGGGGGCGGATATCCGCCCCCCCCGTCGGTGCGCGGGTTAAAATATCTTCAGATGAGCCAGCAAAATAACATTCAAAAATAGCTCCACCATGCTCCTTATCGTGGCAGACAACAAGGACAGCCCAACAGTCGGTACGCCAGGCACGTTCACTATACACTAGAAGGAAAATATTTTAACAGTTTGTTCACGCACTTGGCTGAACACCTAACACCCTGGGGTTGATAGCTTACCTCGACGCCGAACTTGTAGAAGCAGTAGTTGACGAGGTACTTGGTCATCTCGAGGAGGCCCCGGTCCGAGTGGGCGCGGCCCACGCCGGCAAAGAACACTCCCTCGGTGGGGGCGTGTCCGTCCCGCAGAGAGCGGTACAGGGCGCGCACCGACACCGACTTGTGCAGAGTCAGCACCAGGATGACGCCTGGACGGGGGGGGGGGGGGTGAAGATGTAGTCAGATTGTAAGGAAAGGAGCTGCATTCACAGACTCTCCATAACTGACCAGCATCAGTTCTAATATTCGAGAAGTATTACATACCGGAGATGTTAATGCATCATAAAAAGCAGTGACCACTGTCGCAAGGCAGAATTATCAAATGAAATTAGATTAAAATTAGAATGATAATTTAACATCCACGACGTGGATGTTAAATTATCATTCCCACGTAGATTAATCTTATAAGGATAATTTAAAATCCGCGTTCCCTTGCAAATTTCCCAGAAAAGTCGCTGTGTTTCGTCAGCCGTTCGGCGATATAACGTACCGATGTATCCGGTGACGTACTGCGGCAGGCTGTCCATCTTCTGCAGACCGAACCACACCAGGCCGTGAACGGTGGTGTTGTGAGTGGTGTTCAGGAGGAGAGCCGCCGCCGGGGCCGCTGCTCCCTTCGCCGGTGTCAGGTGGGGCATCGAAAACTGTAACGGACAGAAACACAAATAAAAAGGCGATCACGGGCAAATGAGGCACACTTCTCCTTCGCCGATATGCAGAAAGCAAGGAAGATAAATTAGCGCCGCAAAGAAGTGGTGAGTAAATTATCACCCAGTATTCTACTCCTCGCCTCCTTTGTGAACGTTGCGAGCTCACTAACATGAAACTTTTTTCTGCTACGCACCGTGCAGTTGACGGTCCACAGGTCCCCTGGGATGACGTCCATCTGGTAGATCATGCGCAGCAGCAGCAGCAGGCTGACCCAGCAGATGGCCAGGTCACAGCACACCTTCTGACCGCGGCTCTCCAGCAGCAGGGCCACGCACACCAGCAGCAGCAGGCAGAAGTGGACCGCACACACCTGGCGACGGAGCACAACGTCTCAGTTTGTAACATTTCAAGTTGGAACGGCCGAATGGAAGGGCGGATTCAGAGAAAGCTGGTTTAACACCGGTTGAAAAGCCAATTGACATCGTCGTTTGCTACATCGCTCCAAGGCAGGTAGCAACATAATATTCACATATCATAATACGACATGTCCCGATCACGCTATATCAGTCCAAACAGGACCAGAAATCGTTATCATCGGTCTTACTGGCCACTTCAGTACAAAGCTAGCCACACTGCAATAACTAACCAGGCAGACTGTAGCACCTACGATTGTCACCCATGGCCATCTTGGAGCAGTCACCACCCGAGTCACTTACATCAAAGACGGTGACCATGGTGATGGCGAACATGTTGACCTTCATGCCGTGGATCTCCATCAGCCGGCAGAACACCCAGAGCAGCTTGTCCAGCAGCGCCAAGGCCAGGTTCCACGCCCGGGCGCAGTAGTGGAACAGCCAGCCTGACAGAACAAAATGTGTTCAGCATCAACTGATGAGATCGACAATCCAGTAGCCATGAATGCATTCAAATTTTAGAGCCACACTCCACACCGCTCGCACACTACCTTACTTCATCTTCCATATGATGTTTTTTTAATATCCATGCACCCATCTCTCATCCTCCGATACCCTTATGCAATATCCTTACATCCATCTCTCACCCTCCGATACCCTTGACAAAAAAAAGGCACCTTCAATCTCCCTGAGACAGTCAAACAAAACGGCATCCTCGTCCACCTTTCATCTCCCGGAGGCAGTCCCACAGAAGGGCTACCCCACGCACCTTTCATCTCTCTGAGGCTGCTGGTCTCGTCCAGTGCCGGGCCATGCTCGGTGGTGGGCACCTCCAGCAGTCCACCGGGCAGGACGCCCATCTCCTCCTCCTCCGGCTCTGCCACGGGCGCCGCGCCCGCCAGCTGCACCGTGTCCGCTGTCCGGTCCGTGTCCGCGGTATCCGCCGTGTCCACGGTGTCCACGGTGTTGTTGATGGTGTCCGCCGAGGGGCTGAACACGGGCACCGGCGAGGGAGAGTCGGGCGGCTCTCCGGTCGGCGAGCCGGCGGGAGAGGCGGCGGCCGAGGCGGGCTGAGAGGCGGGCGCGCCGGCCGGCTCCGGGCGTCTGCAGGAGGAGGGCAGACTTGGCATGTAAATCCAAAGCCACAGTCATAAGGAATAACACGAGCATATGTTTCATGGTGGCGCATTAATTTCACTAGCAAGGAAAACACTTAACGCTTGGCTCCATAACCTAACAGGGTGTTGGCGATCAGTATGGTATCAAATCGTTAATATTAGAATAGCGTGCTCGTAACAATCACACATGAAACTGTCACCTAGAGCCAAACGAGGTTATATCAGGTCACACTAACCTGTGGTAGCGCTCCTCGTCGGTGAGTGCCATGAAGTCCTTGTGGATGTGTTGGATATAGACCACGCACACAATCATGAACAGCGTCGGGAACAGCAGCTTGATAAACAATCTGTAAAGAAGAGTTAATAAATACGGCATATGTCAGTGAACCATGTTTCCAAGCGTTATTGCAGGACATATTTGAGCTGCTGGCGTAACAATGGTCAATAAGAGTTAAGACTAGAAAGTAGAAATGCATTTAACTAACTAGCTTGTTCCATACAAGATTCATTGTCATACAGGATGTGACGATAAATTGGGGCCTTCCCTCGGAGCCATCCCCGCCGCAGCTTACCTCCCCGTCTGGTACACCTCCAGGCCCAGGTCGCGCTGCCACTGCTGCGATATGCCCAAGTCGGTGATCCACTCGTGAATGTGTTTGAACTGATAGAGGTAAATGGTGACGAGCACTAGCATCTGGTACAGGATGAGCGTCATCGTGAATCCGTACAGAAGGCGGCGCCATACCCGGAACGATATCTGGGGAAACAGAAATAGGTAAAATGTCAACAGATGCTCCTTGTCATGATATTTCATGATATGTGGTAAGCTACTAAAATGAATCATAAGTGATTTATGAAATTACACTCGTATTTTTTCTAGTGCTAAATTGTTTTACACATTGAGCAAAACCTGCAACATGCGACTCGTTCAAAACACAAACACTCAGCAAGTCATGAAAATTAGAATGTCAAAGATGAGCGAAGTAGGTACCTGGAACATGGATATGAAGAAGAGGAAGAAAGCCATGTAGAAGATTTGTATGATGACGACGCGCTCCTCGCCGATGCCGTAGACGAAGAGCATGATGGCGACCACGACGATCCAGAGCCGGACGATGCCCTTGAAGAGGACGACGCCCCAGCGCTTCAGGAGGCCGTCGTCGAGCGAGAGACGGCCTGGCGGCGGAAAAGCATGGTGTTAGCAGTATTGAAGATAACAGGCATTATATGTGCCATTTGTGCTAGGAAAAGGCACCGAAAAGCGTAGAAAGAGAAGGCTGCAAACAGTTGATACCATCATAAGCCGACGACCATTTCAATGAAAAATGTAATTTCGTCCATAGCTAGACAACTTTCAGAATTAATTGACAACTCAGGGCTCAGGCACATCTCAACAAGGTTGTATGTGGGGTAGCCCATCGTGACATTACCAACACCACCAGAGTTCTACACTCGAGTCATTCTGATCGCCTGGACTCACGTCTGGGTGTCAGGTGGAGGTCGTTGTGACGCTCCCGCTCCTCCTGAAGGTACTGCCGCAGCGTGAGCCAGAAGATGGTGGTAAACACCAGCTGAGGAGCGGTGAGCAGCGTGGGTCAGAGAAACAACCAAAACCGCCATAACATCTATGGGCTGTGAATGGACACAAGACAAAACAGTTGGCCGTCAGCTTTGAATTATTTCGGAAACTCGCCATTACTCGGTTTCCAATCGGCCTACCTGCAGAGACAGCGTCTCGCAGGGGAAGGAGGCCGGCTTGTAGACCACGTCTCGCAGGTCGAAGTTGTTGATTTTGACGGGCAGCTCCTGGTCGGTAAGGTCGAGGCAGTAGACGAACTGCAGCAGCACCAGCAGCTGGGCGTACGTCACCAGGAACGGCGAGGAGCGGTGCATCACCTTCCGCTGGTTCTTGATAACGGCCACGACCAGTGCCCACAGCAGGAACACGAAGGTCAGGTAGCTGTGGTACTTGATCGACCAGTACTGGGGCAGAGAGAAAGGGGAGCGTCAGTGGTGGAATGTGGGGAGTGTGACTTTGGTACACTACCCAAGTACCCCCAAGTACCTACTTGATCGACCAGTACTTGAGAAAATAGAGAAAGAGAGTTGAATGGTGGGTCTGTGAAGCGTAAAATCGTGGTGTTGATCGAGAAGTGCAGCCGAAAATGATATTTTTTTGAAGTTCGCAAACGAGAAGTGATAGCTGTCGAAACTAATCGGACCATGCGTAGAAAAGGTCCATGAGTAGTGCAAGAACGATGCGAACGCACCAGACCATGGATGAAAGAACCTCCTACAAGGTTCGCCTTCATCCATGACCAGACTATCGGCGAAACTGGTATTAAACCTACCATCATGATGATCACAAAGTAACGAGGAAGTGGCCCATACGTACCATCATGACCACATAGGTGGCGAGGAAGGAGGCGCGCGCCAGGCTGCGCCACACAGTGTACACGGTGGCGGAGAATTTCTGCCAGCGCTCCCGTCGGAGCCGAGTCTCAGCCGGCTCCTCGGTGGCGTCATCTGACGACGGGACGGCAGCTGGTTAGTTGTCGGTGCTAGCTTGTTGTGAAAGAAATACAGGACTTTTTCCAAAGCCAACAGTGAGCAGGCCTATAAAAGTTGAGATGAAGTAAATAATCTCGTTCAGTTCATTCACATCTGCACTCAGCACAGTTCTGACAGTGATACTAAATGCATCAAACGAAGCCAGTATTCACTGCTGGTCAGCCAACTTGTTTTATTGAAGCCAATGTAATACAAACAATTCAAGCCTCCTGAAAGCTCAGAAAAAAATAACATGGCACCCCAAATATTGAGCTCCAGCCATACCTGGGCAGGAGCCATCGCCGACGGCCTGATAGCGCGCTCCGAGACTGTCGGCCTCCACCAGCTGACGACAAACGAGACACAGCGGTCAGCGCGTCCGTGCTGACATCTAGTGACCAGCACAGCAACTGATAAGTGATAGTTCAGATAGCGGTAGCCTAGAATGTTTTCAATGGTTAGCAATGTTGATCGATTCGTGTACCACAATGTCAGTTACCAAACAAGGGTTAAAAATTGAAAAATGTAGATTAATACGCGGATTATTTACAATTATTAGAGGCAGTTAAAGATTAAAGAAGTGTTTATGTTTTGTCAAATTTTTATCAGTCACAAACATGGCATGATTATTGATTGACGCTTTGGCCTTTGCGCATTAAATCAATACAGTTTTTATTCAGTACCTAGCTATGCACATAAAGCAGTACATATATACGCGAAAACTAACAACTGAGTACTCCCCCATGTTAGTTAACCTACAAACAGTCGATGAGCTTGTAGCAAAAGCTCTGTAGCGAGTGCGAGCTTTAAAGTGTGACGTAAGCGATGCACATTGCACAGTGCACAAGAACAGAACGACTGGTTTTCGGAACAGCCAGCAGGTAATTGGATCTCGACTTGCGCCAGGAAAAAGGTGGATTGGATGACTTGCAATGCAAAATCACGCGCAAAAGTGCATCGACTGCAAGACGACACAAATAGCATGCACCGATCGCATAAACCATATACAAACTGATGAACAACGAGCATAACGGAAGCTAATGCAAACATACGACGCAAGCACTGTCACCACTGTCCACTAGGGGAGAGCGGGGCCAGTTGAAACACGGGGTCAGATGAAACATGGCTTTATTTTCAACAGTATGCAACATATGGCGTTGCCGACACCAGTGCGCATCCGCGCTCGACCACTTCATTTGTCAACGGCGTTTGGGCGGCAAACGGACGGTAATTTTGATTTGACACTTGTTTTTGTGTTTTTGAGGGGCGTTTGGGAGAAATCGTTTTCATGAATATTTTGTGATATCTCATATGCCTTTGTTTGCTGAAAGAAGAACTCCTGGCTCCGGAATAACACCTTATTTGGCCCTTCATTCAGCATGATGCCGTCCCTCCAGCTCGTTTGACATGTGCTTTACGGCGCGTGCGAGATGGCGGGAGCGGATGGGGTCAATTGAAACGCTTCTCTGAGGGTCAGTTGAAACAGGGCCACAGGCCGTTTCAATGGACCCCGGTGACCTTTGCAATGGTTATTGTTCAGGGGCTGTGAAGGTGAACTCATTTCAAAGGAAATAGTCCACCTTTGAAATGAGCTTTTAAACTGAAATAGTAGTTTAATAGAGCTCAATTTTTTACCCCTTTTTCTCCAGCCTTTTGCTTGAAAGCACACTATAGCCTGAGATATTTCTCATTTTCCTCATCCGCCCATTTTACCATAGTCTATGTACTTTATGTCACCTATTATGAGGAACTTTGCACTTTTAGCTTTCCAACGACCTATTGAATGTAGCATTTGGAAAAGTAAGCCGGACAAAATATCTCCTTAAGAAAATGGCCTTAAAGAGGAAAACATCCCATTGTTAAGGATAGGTGCAATTGACCCCATGGGCTGGTTCAATTGACCCTCGCATCGGGGTCATTTGAAACGGGCGTAGAGCTGTTTTATAAGCATGCGTTTGGCAGCAAAATATGTTTGAAACATAATTTTACATATCTTAAAATAAAGCCAAAAGAGCATATTTTTTCATGGCATTGTGCATTTTTCGATATGAAAACTAGATCTCGCTGTGCATGTCAATATATAAAAAGTGGTTCAACTGGCCCCGCTCTCCCCTACCCTTTAAGCCACTGGAAGACCGCTGATTCGACAAGGATGTTTGTGACAAGACTAAACGCCGTTAGATACCCTTCAGTCGCCACAATACTCGATGCAAAAGAGAGGACAGCATTGAAAGAAGAAACATTACGTCACTTACCCCGAGTTCATTTTCCACCACCGTTACAAATTACCGCATTCAAAAACCCATCCTCCACCACTGAACAGGACAGCAAGCAGGCTTTTCGGTGGCGCGGGTACAAGCGGGGTGCGAACTTGACCGACGGGCCCCGAGGCATCCCTGGCCGGCTAACAACAGCCAATGGACACGGGGCAGACAGAGCCACCCAGACAAAGCTCGGGGTTACATGAGCAGAGTTAATACGCATTACAAACGGACTACAATGGTGAGCGAATAGGAAAATCCGTTCCTGATACGCATTTACTTGCTCATGTAACCCCGGTAATTGTCACTAGCGGGATGGTACTCAGGCGAGGCTGGCCGCGGGGCGGACAGTGTGCCACTCCACTGAGGAGAGGTGCCCGTGTGTTCAGTGCAGGACTGCGTGCGAGGCGGCCGTGGCAGCGTGCGCCGTGCAGTACATACGGGCGTTCGGTCGTGGGATGACGTCACGGCTCGCGGCGCGGTCCCCTGGCCCGCGATCTAAGCACAGCACGCATGCGGTGGCAGGAGACGCCAGGTCCGGTCAGGTCAGTCGGGGCGGGAACGGGGTCTCGGGGCAAACAGTCCACGCCGCACAGTCCACGCCGCGGCATTGCGCGCCGATTAAATCATCACATTTTAGATGCATCGATGGCATCAACATGTCAGATTCATACATTTAATTTCAGTCATTCTTACAACTACTCAACTTATTTACAAAGTGATCGAGTAACCAGAAGTCTGTTCACTTGTCAATCACTTCACCATTGCGTGCACCGTCAAAAGCTACATCTCTACAGTCTACACTCACATACCATGCAGAGGCACCACTGATTCGTACGACAGAGGCGGCCCGTACCAACAGCGAAATGTCTACCGCCTCCCAGGCCGCCCCAAGACAGACACTACGCTCCTGGATGCATCCATTGCAGCGCGGCCTCCCCGCTACTCGGCCATAAAGCTCCAGCGGAGCTGTGCGACTAACTCACTTGGAACGTCTCTTTTGTGTCTGAATACGCTACTTGTCGATCAAACGCGCGAATAGAGTGGACTGTCGTCCCGGCTCGAGTGCCGCACTGTCGGCGCAGGTCAAATGAGGGCAGGTCAGGTCAGATAAGGTCAGGTCAGGTCAGGCCAGAGCATGGCAGACCATGGATATCAGATGAATTAGGAAGGTCGTGATGGAAGTGCGAGTTAGAACCATAACCAGTATCCTAAAAGAGTAGAGAAGATTACACCGAAGCCACAAGTGTGTGATTGCAGGAAACACTGGTGAAAGGCGAGCCCATGTAAGTTTGTCATTCTAATCTAAAGGGTTAAACGAACCAAGAGCTGTAACAAAGAGACAAAGAAGAGTGAGTGATAATGAAGTCAGAACGTTAGAGGAAAACACTGCAGACTACAACATATGAGGTGACAAATGCAGAGGAACGTTAGTCAAAGAAACGCTACAGGAAGAAACCACACCATCAATCGAAATATAGGTAAAGCTGTCTTGCGCAGACACGAAACCGAAGTTACATTATCACGGTAGCATTGCCCCATGTAAAGAATACATGGGCATTGAACTGAACAATACATCTGCAGTAACGGAAAACAAATATACCTATCCATAACCTTTTATGGACAATATTAGAAGTATAGGTAACTAAATTCTGCACCCAAAAATGACCCACCAAACATTTGAGAACTTGATTTCAGTTTAACATTTCAATGGAAACATTGTTTAACGGGTTAAAAAAAGATGTGTACGTTTAGGATGTCTTTTCACCACGGAACGTTGACCAGCACAGAAACAAAATAGAATACAGCTCCACAAAACACAAATTATATCACAGAACGAGCAATGTTCGGACAGGACTACAGTGAGAATAATTAGTTTAAATGATTGTAGTTATCAGCAGGCTACAATTGGTAGATCTGCTTCCCAGCTTTAGTTGTAAACTAAGTTAATTTTGTATTGTATCATTTCAATCCAATGATTTATTGCATTCTAATCATATAACGCGGCCGTGCCCGTTAGAATGAAACGGTAATTATTTTTTAAGTGCAGAGATAGGCACAGTGGTATATGCTGCCTTGGGCACAGTTATCATCCAATTTTCCGCTTGCTTTGCCGCACAAAGGAAAACTATTTTTTCGGTACCTTAAATTCTCTATTTGTACGTGGATCTGTCCCGTCATTAGATTGCACTCAAATGTAGCATGCCTCTGCATGTAGCGAGGTTGAGGGGTCCAGGAGATTTAGCTATTAAATTTCCAACAAATAGGTGTGCTGTGTCCGATGTGAATAAGTAAGGGGATGTTTGACCTACCGTTCAATTTGAACTTTGTAGCAAGCAATAGGTATGCAATTGCTACATAATAGACAGCTTATGACAGCATAAGTCGTAACTAATTTCGCCATAGGTACCCTCTCTGTTTTCGGCTATTGGCTTGTAGGTAAAAATAAGATAAAATGTGAGATTATCTTTCTTTAATCGCTATAAACCAGCCACGGGACTTTAAAGCATCCGCAACATGCTTATTACTGGAAAAGACACAAATCAATGAGCGCATGCGAAGGCAAGAGCAAAACAGATTCTCAATTCGTCAGAAACAAAATTAGAACAAAAAAAAAACTCACAAGTTTTGGTTATTTATTTTCCAAGCTCCCAAACTATCTCAGTTTGTAGTAGGTTGCTTAGTCAGTCATATATTATTGATAGCGGCAACACAATTCCCCTAAATATCCAACATAGCTTCAAACGAAAAATGGGTAAATAAAACCAAGCAAAGTAAAAAAGCAGCACTTCCTTGCTACTTCTAAGAATACACGGCAAACAAAAATACGACCAACTGAAACTGAGCCGGCCTGGCGACTATTAATCTGCATTCTGAGCGCCACCACTAACATCCACCGGAGGGCACGGGGTTCAACAGGGGGGCTTACTGTGACCGCTTGGCGGCCCGGCTTTCGTCTGAACGTGCGGCGCAGGGAGCGGCTGACCCTCTTGAAGGGCACGTCGAGCACGGCCTCCAGGAGACGCGGGTCCTGCCAGGGCGGCGGGTCAGCGCGGAGCCTCCCAGAGTGAGGGAGCGAATAGCGGCCGTGCGTGAGGGAGTGGTTGGGCGCCGGTCATCGTGTGAGGGCACGGCGGTGATGGTGTTCTGGCAATAAAATTTGATAGACTTGATTTAACTCTGTTCAGTTACAATTGTGTACAAGCTTACATTAAAAAAGGTGTTCGCTGTTCAGTCCGTTTTCTTTTCTTTTCTTTTAAATAAAACTCAACCCTGAAAAGATACATATGAGACGAAGAGCCCGGTACAACAGCTAACTGTAGGGAATACCAACTGGGAACGTTTGAGAGCCTGCATTTGATTCATTCATCTCAAACCGCAGCTCAAGTCCATACACACCTCATAAATGTGTGAGGGCATATGATGCCTGTAACTCTACTGATGTAGCCTGTTGACGCTGAGCATCACAATGATTATTTCTCGAGCTATACCAATAAAGTTAGGTATCTCGCTTCCTCATATGAGAAAATGTCTTAATCTAGTGCAAGCATGCGATTTGCCATTTTCAATCTGTTAGTAACAGAGAACGTCAAACAGTGGAAGACATCGCAGTTGCTCAGAGTAGAGTTTCAGAGTCGAGAGTTATGACAGATCAAACTCATCAGCAAATATCGGATGGCAGAAGAAAAAAGCATTTGTGCCCGTGTTCACGACCTAATTAAATTCTCATACAAGACTATTTGCCTGCGGGAAATCTCACATTCTTGAGGCTGAGCAATCACACGAGAAGATTAAGCCGTTTTTACAAATTCATAGAACTAGGAAGAGGACTCGAATGTGACATGTTCTTTCTGAAGAGGTGAACTCGTGATGTTCGCCTGATTTTGCCAAGCTGGCGATAGTGAATACGGACATACGGGGCATGCCGGACCGGAGGCGTCAGCCAAGCGCGCGCCAGTGACCTACACCCAGGCGGCAGGTCCAGCGATCACTCAGGGACGAGCGCTGGAGAGCGAGAGAGACAGAAACCGTACAGCGGCAGAGAACACGGTTTACCTCAATGAGGTCCTTGACGGTTACGGTCAGCTGCTCAACCTACGACAAATGTAGAAAACGGCTGCTTCGTCACAGGAGCCAGAGTTGGATTGCAGGAGTGGTGCAGTACAACTCATATAATGCATCAAATAAACTGCGTCATCTAAACTCGTGCTTATGGTGTAAACAAGTGGTAAACGCGTGTGCAGAGATACGACAAAAGAGTGATCAAACACAGCAAACTTGGAGCGATAAATACGTGATATTCACACGATGTGGGCAGTGCAAATGGTCATCAAGGCATGATTTACTATTACTTGCAGGCTATGCTAAATATGTTGAATAATCACACAAATGAAACTACAAAATCTGATGTGATGGCAAGCAAACTCAAATTCCCATCAGGGAATACTGTAATAGCAAAACCTCTGTGCTCAACAAAACATGTCACCTATCGTGACCAAGTGGAAACCATGGCAGAACCGGTGCCGAGCTCGTAACTCAAATCCCTGTAACCCGTCTAAACCATCACTCACCCTTAGATTTCCCAGAATGCGCGACTCGAAGGCGAGCATGTAGTAGAGTGCGTAGATGACCAGCGGGTAGATGTAGACGTCCCACGTGGTGTCGGCGAACACAGTGTCCCGAGGATCGCCCGTGCAGTTCGCCACTTTGATCTGAACCAGACCAGCCAGTCTGTGTGTAGGACAGAATACAGCCGGTGATACAACGCTGAACACAATTTGATTCAGGCATGACACAGAAACCATACGATAAAACAGTCTTACGAAATACGAAACAAACAATGACAAGGCACAATAGGAAGACAGTAACCAACGGTGGGAAAAGGACGAAGTCGAGCAAAGTTATGTCCATCACGATATTATTTTTCGTTTCCGCTATTAAAGATCATCTTATAACCTTATCTCCTCGTTTTTTAAATAAATCTTACCCGAATGTTCAAATGGGTTGTACCGCCCCGTCCCGTTCCCTCCCTCACCTGGCCGCCAGGCTGGTGTGGTCAAAGTACTGCTGCGGCCACTGGAACTGATACACATACAGGGCCGTCACGTGCAGCGCCGTGTACGCCATCAGCAGGCGGCAGATGACGCCGAACGGCCGGCCCAGCGGGCGCAGACACGCCCACCACGTCATCGCCGCCATGAGCGTCAGCAGGTAGACGGCCGACGTCACCGAGGGACGGATAACGGCGGCGCCGGCCAGCGCCAGGAACGTCAGCGCCGTCACTGCACACAGGGGGGGGGGGTCAGAGAGGGGCCAGTGTGAGTCAGGGAAGATTTAGGAGTTTAGAAAGACCTCAAACTACATGCATTTTAACCCTCGCCCCGTTGGGAGGGTGCCATTTTGGCCCCCTGTTGTTTTTCCTGAATAACAAGAAAACGGCGGCGCGAAGCGCCGCCAAATTTTCAGTACCTTCCCGGGCATCAATTTGACACCTTCACACCATATTTCAAGTCTAAGGTCACCTTAGGTCAGGAGTTATTGAGGTCAAACTGAGGTCATGTTCGAGCAAAAATGAGCAAAAAACATGCAATCTTGAAACGCTCACCAAATCTACAGTTATCAAGCAATTTCAAAGTTCTTTATATGGTCTAGTAGACAAAAAGCGGCGCTACAAAACTGTTATCTCGGATTTTCAAAATTTTGGGTTTTTGACTCAGAAAAATTCAAAAAATGATTTTTTTTAGAAAAACTAAAAAAAAAATCCAATTTTTTTCGAATTTCGAAAAAACCGGAATATATGTGATAGTCCCTGCGCTCTTCCATATACATACCAAATTTCAGATCGATATCTCGTTTTTTGGCCAAGTTATAGCGAAAAAAACTGTTCAAAAATGATGACGTCAAATTTTTGAACTTAATTTTTAGCGATTCTAGACCTCGTACGGCAAATAAAAGACCACCATTGAACTCCCCGTGACGAGCTGCATCGATTTGATACCCATTTTATGCAAAAATATCAACTTTGAAATTTGACCTAATTTGCCCTGACCTTGACCTGACCTTGACCTGACCTTGACCAAAACGTGACCTAAGCTGGCCCCAAAGGCTGCCTGACCCACATAATCGCACTTGTCATGTAAAATGGACCATAAAACATGTATCACACGACACTTTCATATTGTGACCCCCCAGTGACCTGACCTCTGTGACCTGACCTGGTATCAGTGACCTCAAATAGCAAAATATGTGTTTGAAGAACATTTCTCCATCGATGATTTTCAATAAAATGCATTTTACTCGATTTTACAACGCATTTCTTGAAATGCCTGTAAACGGTGAAAATTGGACCTTTGACCTGACCTGTGACGTCATCGGTTTGACCTAGGTCAATAAAATTGGGTCACAAGGTAGTTCCCTGATAGGGCTATCCAACACCGTTTGCCGCTTGTCGCTAGGTTGCGTGGTTCTCGAGATCTTAGGGGGGGGCAAAATGCCCCCCCCCCCCCCAACAGGGCGCGTTGCTCGGCAGAGCCCAACGGGGCGCGGGTTAAGGTGAAGATGGCACACAAAGGTCTAAAATACATCACAGTGCTAACGAGAAACAACGTAGGTAATTATCCGTTGTCGCTCTATGTATGCATGTAACAATAGCTAATACTGATGACCGTCCTTACTATGCAACTTACGTAGAGCCATAGTGTAATAAATAACATAGTGTTGTAGTGTTATTTATTACACTATGGTACAACGTTGCATGAATATCATCGGTCAGCAGTCCGCTGCTTATGGGATTCATCACACTATCCTCCTGAGGTGGGTGGCTAAAGCGGACACAGCTGACGCTATCTCGGTGTGAATTCATGACTGTCCTCCATCACAAGCCAAAAGCGGCACTATAATATGGCGCCCCAGAGTGTCGAGTTCGAGCACAGGCAACCGTGCTTGAGGCTGGCAGAGTCGGGAAGCCTGATATGAGGTGATATTCTGGTAGATTGCAAGGATTTTATGATGGCACTATTTCCGACTCAAGTGGCACGTGATGCTGGCATTATGAAAGAGCGACGCATTGCATTCTCTGAAGAAGAAGAAAGAACGATGCGTACGCCATCACGAAACGAAGTAAAGCTTGAAAGTGTGGCCTTACAATGACTTTCTACATTGTGCAAAACACATCTTTCCGTCCCATATGACCCTTCACCAAACGATTTGACATCGTCTAATTCCAACACGAGACCGCGTCTTACCGAAGCAGTATTTGAGCCCGTCCTTTTGTAGCTGCTCCCGCGTGTTTTGGATCAGGGGTGAGGTGCCGCCCCCGATCGCGTTCGTCTCTGGTACGTCCGCATCGCGCGACAGGTCACGACACTCCCTGGGGGCAAGGTCAGAAAAGGTCAGATCATGTCAGGTCAGACTACCTCAAAGGTCATGACGGGTATCCTGACTGACGATCGGAATAAATAGCACATGCGCAACGATAAATCCCTATCAAACTAGAGGCTATATAATCACGGGGAATTTAATAAAAAAAAAAACGATAGCAAATAATATCTCAGACATTGCTACAGTAGCGAACATCTGTATGGGCCAGTCAACGCACATGGCACCAAGCAGACGCAGACTGTCTCATGCCTGTCAAGTTCATTGACTTCCGAAGCATGCCACCCATCACAGAACCAGATGTTACCGGTCGCTAGGCCGGTCAGTGTTAACGTTCCATCACCATCCAAGGTCCGTGTGTGACTGTTCCATTGAGGGCAGCTAACACTCACAGAGAAGACATGTACATACCTCTGTCGCTCAATACCGCTAAGTAAACAATTCACAGGATTCGTCACAAGGCCAGTCTGGGCTCATCAGTGCAACCATAAGCGACTCCATTTCGGCGGACTTTCCTTTTTTCGTGGATCTATCGAAAGAAGAGACTTCCAACCGAGTCATATCGATAAATCAGCTAGACCGGACTTTAATAACATTTGCTCGATCTTTCGAAAGCATGATGCAAAAACTTGATGGTCATGACAAGGCATAAAATATGCCGCAAAATATTTCATCATCACCTTTTTCACAAATCGTCGCATTTCGACCGCATCAATTCAAAGAAGGACTGCACGTGCACGAATTACCTGAAGGTGACCAGCGTAATGACGAACGGCACCAGCTTGGAGGCGAAGTAGAACACGCCGGCCAGGATGGAGACCTCGTCCAGTCGTATGAGGCCCAGCTGACGCAGCAGCGGCTCGGGAGGGTCGCCTGGGGAGCGGTGTCGGAGGGAAGAGGTCACTGGTCAGGTCACGGGTCACACAGTGTAGAACGACGGACGTTAGCTGGGCGAACGGCGGCCAACATTAAATATTTGGTGAGAAGATGTTTTTGACTATGAAAACTACACAATAAAACGAGAGTTGCCCACATCAATTAACATAAGATTCAAAGTTACCACCAGGAACTAGGAAACAAAAGCAAAGTTGTTCAAGTTTCGTTCAGCGAAGGCAATCTAACTAGTCATCATGAACTTTGGCACATCGCCACTTCATGGCAAACTTCAATGCCGAGCAGACCATACTCACAGAACTGCAGTATGTGTCCGTATGGTGGCATGGCGAACAGCGCTATTTGGAAGCACACCAGGGGCAGAATGGCCAACAGCGTGAGCGCCAGACATATCTTCAGGTAGATGCCTAGAGGACCTGCAACAAAATGCATCAGGAAGGGAGCAAATACTATGAGCCGGTCCCGTAGCTCAGTTGGTTAGAGCGTTGGACTCCGCGTGGTGAGAGCACGCGTTCCCGGTTATGACAGTCCGGGTTCGAAGCGCGACGGGCGCCCGACATTTATGGGCCTCCTGACAGGTATGGTTGCGGTTGGTGGCAGGCCGTAGCCAGGCGAAGTCAGCGAGGGGACCGGCCGTGCGCGGCTTTGTGCGCACGTTAAACTTTGGACTCTAAATTCTGCCATAGAATCGGAATTGCGCGATCGGAGGGTAGAGGGCAGGGTCATCGCAACAAGCTTCGCTTAGCGGTGGCTCTGTCCTTGTGAATCCTTCCCATCAAAAGGTTCGGACTAAATTTATAATAAAAAAAAATATTGTCAGAACGCCCCGAGCGCCAAAGGTCGAGTATCGTGTCACATCTTATCATGTGCCAACATTGTTCCCAGATTCATAGTAAGCTTGGTTTCAGCAAGTTAGAATATTATCAACCATCACTATCCGCCGATTGGTCTCAAAGTCGGCACACCAGCGGCGGTGCCAAAAGCAGGACCCGGCCGCCCTAAGCATCTTGTTTACCTTTGCGACCAGGCGCGCCACTTAGGGTCTCGCAGCGATCGTAAAACAAACTCGCTAAGCCGGGCAAACAGTGAGTGGATAGCGGGAAGTTGGCGTCCGCGCCAACCGATGACGGTTGGCTGACTGAAGGCCGGCGATAGGCAGCAATCGTGCCACAGACTTCAACACAGGGCCCTGCAGGGGATTCAGACATCACCGCCTAAGCCAGCACACCTCGTTCGTGTGTGTGGGTAGTGGCGAAAGGAGGACAGGTGCTATCACTTGGTTATCACTGCATGGTATGCGACAGTGAATGTAGGCACCATGGATAAAGGGGCCTGGGAGCAGTGGGCTGGGAGAGCTGGGGGAAGGAGGAACTGAGAGCAATACACTGGGAGCAGTGCATTGGGAGCACAGGGAGCAGTACACAGAGCAGAGAACTCACCCTGCCAGGAGCGCCGGGTCGGAGCCGGCACCACCGGACAGGCCAGCAGTAGAGCCAGATACACCAGTGAGATGACGTCAAACTGGAGACTGCAGCCTGCCGACAGGGAAACGGTGACGTCACACAATAGCCCGCAGAGAGAAAAACGGCTTATTGCAGCCTGCCGAGGGAACAGAGTGATGTCACACTAAACCTGCAGAGAGGTGGTGACGTCCGACTGCAGTCTGATGTCAGGCGTGGAGTGACGTCACACTACACAAAAAAAAATCACATCTTGGCGACTCTTTTCTGAACACTCCTAGCTGAGCTGCTAATGCGAGTTACATAGATAAGGGATCATGCATATCAAAACCAGCTTTAAACTGGGCATCCTAAATCAATGATCGATAGAGCCTGTCTATTAAATAGGAACGTAGTGATATAGGCACCGCATTGCAGAATGCAGGGATCATATCTTAACTACGATACCTACTGATCGTATTTCAGAGGGAAAACATCCAAATAATTCAGCTGACATCGCAAGAAATCATCTATTATTTACAGCGTGATTCATATACCTAATTGTATTGTATGGTGCTATATAAAGGGACGATAAAGGCAGCGACAAAGGAGTAGCTAGATAGGTAGTGCGATAAATCAGAAAGCCGTAGAACGAAAAGCCACGTCATCATTCCGATTGTCGCACACAAAGCACTGCAATACAAAGACGTTTTTAGATAAGTTACAGCATTGCCAAGCAAGAACAAACAACTGAGTAGGTATACCTAATTATAATAGGCACTTGTAACCAAAAAGTCAGAAGAAAGACGATGGTTTTATCAAGCGGTGTTTGTATATAAATTATAAATGGACGGAGAGCAGCATTCCCTCTACCAGCAGTTCAGTCATTGATCAGCTATGTCGCCGCAATGCGGTCAGTCCCTAGTTGTTTCCTCTGAGCTAAGACGGCTGCAGGCAGGCCAAATCTCAGAACACCGCAGTCTGTAAGCTTGACTGTGGCCGGTCGATCGAGGTCAGTGGCGTAGGAAGACAGAGGCCGTGAATACATACCTACATGCCAGAGATACCTAGAATCGAGGAAAAATATGAAGCCTGAGCGAGATTCTTTGATGGTTGGTTGGAAAGAATGAGGTGTACCTATACAGTTATACTTGTATGTAAACGTTATCCTTTTGACGTCCTACGAAAATCCGAATCCGTTGCCTACATTTGATGTAAGCTGGTGTCATACGTTTACCCCAGCAATCAGTTGCACTGTTCATACCCACTATGTGAGTGCATATAAACGGTTAGCCGTGCCGCCCACCCACTCACATGCCAATAAGACCGAGCGGCACAACAGCCCGCCACCGACCGCGGATGACAGGGGGGGGGGTGACGGAGGGGGGGGGGACCCGTCAATGACCGGTGCTCGGCCGACTGTCATAGCAAATCAGGCCGAGCAAACACCCGCCGGCACACGCGCACACATACACGCGCGCACATTAGATGCGGGCCCGCAGTGGACCAGGCGCTGACGGAGTGTATGGGACGACCGGATAATACTGGCAGAGACTGCAGCGAGCGGATGAAGAACCGTTTTTGGTTATTCAAATTTAAGATCAACTAGGTAACAACTATCGATAATCGCTTGATTCAGAGTTTCTCTAACTGCCAACTCCATTTCAGGTAGCCTTATCTCAGTGCATGTACGGATTCAGAAATTTATTCACCCATTCCAAACGTACGAGTAGTACGTTTGAACGAACGTACTCGTATAGATATTCGAAACTTCCATTCCACAGATATTTCAAACATATCTATGATTGAGCTAATGCTACCCACAGAAGCACACATCATTGCATGCTGCCGAGGATCAATTCCTCCACAGGTCAATCCGCACAGTCATGTCCCCGTCTCGTGACACATCCTCCTGGATAATTAATCAGGCCTCTGACAGGTCCAGCCACGCTGGCTGAGTTCCCATTAGGACAACACACAGGCAGCACTGAAAAAAGTTTTTACCATCAATTTACTAAGTTACTAGCTTTGGTAAATTTTACCATCAGCCTACCATCATATTACTACCAGCCTACTATGGTGCTGAATACTATCCTGCCTTGACATGTTGATATTACCATGGTTACGTTTATCAGGGGTGGTTTTGTACCCCAGTTTACAAGGTGGTAACCACCTGAGGCTAGTAGATACCCTCGTAAGCTAATATTCCCTACCATAGTAAAATCAACCTTTCCACGGGCGGATCCAGCAGGTGAATTCGGCGATCAAGTCTCCTCCTTTCCATAGAGGTGTTTGCCAATTTTTGATATGTTGGAAGGAGCGTCATCCAAGGACTAGCTGAGACCCTGAGCAATTAATAGTTTTATGGACGAAAGGCCAGAAATTTCTTGCAACAGTTCCCTGGGTGTGCTTCTGCTGCTATGGTAAGGTATACCATGGCAACACCATGACAACACTACACCCTTACTAACAATCCACGTGCGTCTGACTCTGCTGCAGCGGCGCCGCCATGTCAGTTCCGGCCGCGCGCCGGCGTTGTGAAGGTGCTCCGTGGTTTTAAATATTTGAACGGTGATTGTGTGGGTGGTTAGCGTAGCTGACGGTGGAGGATACTCGGAAATAACAAGTAAGTCGTTGTATCTTCAGCATAATAATACTTATCTCACGAGTGCCATTTCCAGCAAAGATCGCAGCCTTTGTTTCGGTTCATGTTGTTGAATTTCCTTGAGACCCTGTTGGACCGGGTAGGGGGAGGGTGGTGGGGTGGGTATCATTGCGGGCATTTCCCAGCGTCGGAAATCAACGTGTTTTTTTATTTGTTAACCCACGCCTCACTGGGGTATGTGCTCTAACGCGCCCCACAGCACGTTACAGCACGTTACAGTGGGGGGGGGGGGCTCCTAACTCCGAAACTACTGGGCCGATTGTCAAAATTCAAACGGCCCCTGGTAGCCCTGGAAATATTGTTGAGCGAAGCCTAATGTCATTGACCTCGAGGTCATCGATGACGTCACAGGTCAGGTCAAAGTAAAAATATCAGCGTCTTGGCACTCTGGGCGCCGGCCAACAAATCAGATCAGGCTCATTTTTTGTTTGCACACTCGTGAATATATGCGTAACATAACCTGAGGGTACCGAACTTGTACTTCGAATTTTTCAGGTCAAGGCCATCTCATCCCAGGTCACGAAAGCTTTATATCGTGCATCGGTGACGTGAGACATGTTTTATGGTTCATGTAGGCCATATATATCGAAATCAGTGTTGTATGTGTCAGTTTAGGCCATTTTAGCTGAATATAGCTGAGGTCAGGTCAGGTCACTTTAGGTCAAAAATGGTCAAATTTTGAAGTTGACATTTTTCAACAAAAAAGGTGTTTGTCAGATGAAGTTCACATATATTCAACGCATATGTGTTCAAACACATATAGACCCCGTTTCCATGGGCATCACTGATCCGGATCAGCAAACTTAAATCGTATTATATTTCTCGAACTCTTCGTTACATGATATAATTCCAAGTGGATTAGGCTTATATAATCAGTTAATCCCTTATTTTCATTTTCATATATTGTCTAACTATACTGGATTAGCTAATCCATTTTTACTGATCCGGATCAGTGATGCCCATGGAAACGTGGTCATATTCTGCTTTTTTCATTCAGAAACGTATATGTAAAAAAATAAAAAATACAATTTCTGAGTTTTTATATTTATAATTTTCAAAATATTCAACATTTCGAAAGTCCGAAATCAGTTTGGTAGCCCTGTAGAGTCCACCCATGCAAAAAAAAAGGATCTAGCTTAACCCTCAAGGCGGTGGGGGGGGGCATTTTTTGCATCCATCTTTAGTTTTTTTTTCGATATATCTCCAGAACCGCTGCGCCGATCTTCACCAAACTTTCAGTACCCTTTTGCACATTGTGACCAAATTTTTTTTCCAAAGGCTATGATAAGTTGACCGCTACGTCGGAGTGACGTCATTTCTGCCATTGTCGACCAAAAAAAAAGCTTCGCGGGAAGAGCTGTCAGGTCTATAAATTTGATTATGCATAAAAATGTTCAAGACATGAAATGTGTAGAATTACCAGGGCTACTATACTGTTCTCTCGATTTTGTTTTTGAAGTTGACCCCAAAAATAAAAAGAAATAGATATAATAGCCAAAAAATCCCAAAAGTTTTTCGATTTTCGAAACAAACGGAATATATGTAATAGCCACTATGGACTTCTATTCACATTCCAAGTATTAGATCGATAACTCCTTTTTGCCAAGTTATAACAAAAAAAAACTGTTCAAAATTAATGACGTCAAATTTTCAAACTCGATTTTGGCAATTCTAGACCACAAAGCGCAAAACAAAGACCACCATTAGACTCGCCGTGACGAGTGGCATCGAATCAATACCAATTTTATGCGAAACTATCAACTTTGACCTGAAATTTGACCTTTTTGACCTGACATTGACCTGACCTCCACCAGAAAGTGACCAAAAAACCGTCCCTGATGGTCTTATAACCAACACCATTGAGGCGAATATGAAAAATTGGCCATAAAACATGCATCGCACAACCCTACTTAGTAAAGATAGGTTCATGTGCTGACCCTTGGTGATCGGACCTGGTATTATCAGTGACCTCCAATAGCAACATATGCTCGTATAATAGGCAACTCACGCCCTATCGCTGATTTTTGACAAAATGCCCTTTACTCGATGTTGCAGCGCATTCCTTAAAAGACCCGTGAACGGTGAAACATTTTATCTTTGACTTGGCCTGTGATGTCATCGGTGACCCCGAGGTCAATGAAATTGAAGTTCCCTCGACAAATTTAACAAGGCTATCGAACGCCATTTAAATTTTACCGATCCGTCATAGTAGCTTCGGAGATTCGGGGGGGGGGGGGTCAAAAATCCCCCCCCCCTCCCACCGCGCGGAAGGTAGCCGGGAGGCCCACCGCTTGCCGGGTTAAAACTCAGATCTTGAGAGCGATTACCGTTGTTCAATGCTTTGCATCAAAATCGGCCGAACATGATGTCACTCTGGCGTCATTTCCGGCCGATCTATAGTAGCTACGAAAATTTTATTAGTGCACAAGGT